GTAATGTAGGAGATAATGTACAGGCTCCATCTCTTTCTCTGTCCCTCCCTGCACCTCTCACACACACACATACAGATGCATGGATGAGGTAATGAGTCACTTGTTTGTACGAGGCCTCCTGTCTCGCGCTCTTGGTCAGACACACACCCTGAGATGGACACACAAATCTAATTTTATTTTTCACATGCTTCGTAAACAACAGGTGTAGACTGACAGTGAAATGCATATTTACAAGTCCTTTTCCAACGATGCAGAGTTAAAGATACGTTTTTTAATAAACAATAGAAGTAATGACATGAGGAATAAATACACAGTGAAAAAGAACATGGCTAAATACAGGGAGTACGCAGTCGACGTGCAGGGGTACGAGATAATTGAGCGACGTGCAGGGGTACGAGATAATTGAGGTAGATATGTACATACAACCAGTCTGTACATACAGTTGAAGTCGGAAGTTTACATACACCTTAGCCAAATACATTTAAACTCAGTTTTTCACAATTCCTGACATTTAATCCTAGTAAAAAATTCCATGTCTTAGGTCAGTTAGGATCACCTGTAGGCCTCCTGTAGCTCAGTTGATAGAGCATGACGCTTGCAACGCCAGGGTTGTGGGTTCGATTCCCACGGGGGGGCCAGTATGAAAAATGTATGCACTCACTAACTGTAAGTCGCTCTGGATAAATGACTAAAATGTAAATGTAAATTTTAAGAATGTGAAATGTCAGAATAATTGTAGAGAATGATTTCTTTCAGCTTTTATTTATTTCATCACATTCCTGGTGGGTCAGAAGTTTACATACACTCAATTAGTATTTGGTAACATTGCCTTTAAATTGTTTAACTTGGGTCAAACGTTTCGGGTAGCCTTCCACAAGCGTCCCACAATAAGTTGGGTGAATTTTGGCCCATTCCTCCTAACAGAGCTGGTGTAACTGAGTCAGGTTTGTAGGCCTCCTTGCTCGCACACGCCTTTTCAGTTATGCGCACACATTTTCTATAGGATTGAGGTCAGGGCTTTGTGATGGCCACTCCAATACCTTGACTTTGTTGTCCTTAAGCCATTTTGCCACAACTTTGGAAGTATGCTTGGGGTCATTGTCCATTTAGAAGACCCATTTGCGACCAAGCTTTAACTTCCTGATGGATGTCTTGAGATGTTGCTTCAATATATCCACATAATTTTCCTTCCTCATGATGCCATCTATTTTGTGAAGTGCACCAGTCCCTCCTGCAGCAAAGCACCCCCACAGCATGATTCTGCCACCCCTGTGCGTCACGCTTGGGATGGTGTTCTTTGGCTTGCAAGTAACCCCCTTTTTCCTCCAAACATAACGATGGTCATTATGGTCAAACAGTTCTATTTTTGTTTCATCAGACCAGAGGACATTTCTCCAAAAAGTACGATCTTTGTCCCCATGTGTAGTTGCAAACCGTAGTCTGGCTTTTTTATGGAGGTTTTGGAGCAGTGGCTTCTTCCTTGCTGAGCGGTCTTTCAGGTTATGTCAATATAGGACTCGTTTTACTGTGGATATAGATACTTTTGTACCTGTTTCCTCCAGAATCTTCACAAGGTCCTTTGCTGTTGTTCTGGGATTGATTTGCACTTTTCGCACCAAAGTACGTTAATCTCTAGGAGACAGAACGCGTATCCTTCCTGAGCGGTACGACGGCTGTGTGGTCCCGTGGTGTTTATACTTGCGTACTATTGTTTATACAGATGAACGTGGTACCTTCAGGCGTTTGGAAATTGCTCCCAAGAATGAACCAGACTTGTGGAGGTCTACAGTTTTTTTCTGAGGTCTTGGCTGATATCTTTTGATTTTCCCATGATGTCAAGCAAAGAGGCACTGAGTTTGAAGGTAGGCCTTGAAATACATCCACAGGTACACCTCCAATTGACTCAAATGATGTCAATTAGCCTATCAGAAGCTTCTAAAGCCATGGCATCATTTTCTGGAATTTTCCAAGCTGTTTAAAGGCACAGTCAACTTAGTGTATGTAAACTTCTGACCCACTGGTATTGTGATACAGTGAATTATAAATGGAATAATCTGTCTGTAAACAATTGTTGGAAAAATTACTTGTGTCATGCACAAAGTATATGTCCTAACTGACTTGCCAAAACTATAGGTTGTTAACAAGACATTTGTGGAGTGGTTGAAAAACAAGTTTTAATGACTCCAACCTAAGTGTATGTAAACTTCCGACTTCAACTGTATGGGTAAAAGACACACCCACTCGCCCGGAGAGAGACGCTCCTCCCCCTCGCCCGGAGAGAGACGCTCCTCCCCCTCGCCCGGAGAGAGACGCTCTCGCCCGGAGACAGACGCTCCCCAACCCCCAGATACCCTCCCCTCCCCCGGAGACAGACGCTCCCCTGAGCTGGAGCACTGAGCAATTCCAGCCATTCTGCGACCTCCGCACAGAGAAATACCCCGGTATGGTTTCATTTACATTCACCGCAGTCGTTTTATTATTTTGCTCTGAAAGAAAAATGGAAATGGAGAGTTGACCACACCCTCCTTCGCTCCCTCCGACAGTTCAGTTAATCGGCTCTGTTCTTTTGGCGGAGCCTCAGGTCCATTTGCGCTGGTGATGCTTGCTAATATCGGGCAGCTATCGAGTTGTCAGTTGTCCAGTCTGTAAAGAACATTTTGTAGGATATTGTACGGTTGGGTACGTCTGTGTTACTGAACAGATTGTGCTTCGTGAGCGGCTTTGTCTGCTGTTGTTCCCGTGATCCAACACACCGCTGTGTCCCTGGATGGTGACCGACCGTGATGGCTGGAAGGTATTGGCACGCTCTGGTGCGCTTCTGCCCTGTAGGCCCTGACACGGCTGATGGACAGAGGCAGCCTGCTGGGTGTCCTGCCCAGTGCAGGAAGTCCTGCCCTGTGGGCCGTAAGGCAGGTGTATGGAGGTCACAGGGAGGGAAGGGGAAATGTGCTGATCAGCTCATCTTGGCGCTTAATGTAATTCAACCAAGGCTCCGGGCCTAAGCACTGTGCTGCTCCGTCTCCAGGCAATATGCTAGATGGGGGTGGAGCTTGGGGATTTTAAAAAACGTAGTCACTGGTGCCCTCGTGCGAATTACTAGGCTATACCTGCTTGTGTCGTCACAAAATGGGCCTGCCCATGCCTCTGTCAGAATATGCAAAAATATTTGTAATTTTTACCTGTGATCACATGATCTACACTGAGTGTACAATACATTTAGGAACACCTTCCTACTATTGAGTTGCATCCCCTTTTGCCCTCAGAACAGCCTCAATTTGTCGTCATGGACTCTACATGGTGTCGAAAGCATTCCACAGGAATGCTGGCCCTCGTTGACTCCAATGCTTCCCACGGTTGTGTCAAGTTGTCTGGATGTCCATTGGGTGGTGGACCGTTCTTCATACACACGGGAAACTGTTGAGCGTGAAAAACCCAGCAGCGTTGCAGTTCTTGACACAAACCGGTGCACCTGGCACCTACTACCATACCCTGTTCAAAGGCACTTCAATCTTTTGTCTTGCCCATTCATCCTCTGAATGGCACACATACACAATCCATGTCTCAATTGTCTCAAGGCTTAAAAATCCTTATTTAACCTGTCTCCTCCACTTCATCTACACTGATTTTGAAGTGGATTTAACAAGTGACATCAATAAGGGATCATAGCTTTCACCTGGATAGTAAATGGGCATTTCAATGTCATAGCTTTAGCCGGTGGTAACTTGTGCAATAGAAACCAGCTGGAATGCGGTTTTAACCAATCAGCATTCAGGATTAGACCCACCCGTTGTATAATTAAGTGATAATGCCCGAGAAGTCTGTGTTTGGAGGATATATTGCCAATGAATCCTCAACACCTGCTTCGAGGGCATTATCACTTTTATACAACGGGTTACCAACATACTCAAATAATGATTTACATATTTTAATTAAAAACATTATTTTATTGAATTTATTAATACTATTTCATCCTTCCACAAGATATAGTCCCGACACAAATCTAGGGTTGCTGCCCAAGCCGGCTGGTCGTTCGTTCTATTGGTTTGGTTGCCAGAGACGCGACCCAGTCGTTAAGTCTTTTTGTTCTGTATCTATGGACAAGAGTGTGCAAAGCTGACATCAAGGCAAAGGGTGGCTATTTGAAGAATCTCAAATATAAAATATATTTAGATTTTTGTTCAACACTTTATTTTTTTTGGTTACTACATGATTCCATATGTGTTATTTCATAGTTTTGATGTCTTCACTATTATTCTACAATATAGAAAATAGTAAAAATAAAGAAAAACCCTTGAATGAGTAGGTGTTCTTAAACCTTTGACCGGTAGTGTATATCCATAAAAATTATTATGCTGATTCATGATTTCGACTGGCTGAGGAAAGCTTCCTGCCTGTCTGTCTCATCCCGACTCCCAACACATTCATCTAGATGCTTTTGATAGTGGAGATCAAGTTTATAAATTGCCTGGCTGGGCTGATGAGACAGTGGATTGCGCAGTCAGATGGAATGGAGTAAATAGGCATTTTAACTTCATAGATTTAGCAGGTGGTAACTTGGGGCGGCAGGTAGCTTAGTGGGTAAGAGCGTTGTGCCAGTAACCGAAAGGTCGCTGGTTCTAATCCCCGAGCCGACTAGGTGAAAAATCTGTCGATGTGCCCTTGAGCAAGGCACTTAACCCTAATTGCTTCTGTAAGTCGCTCTGGATAAGAGCGTCTGCTAAATGACTAAAATGTAAATGTAAATGTTGTGGAATAGGCACTGGCTGGAATGCGGTTTTAACCAATCAGCATTCAGGATTAGACCCACCCGTTGTATAAAGTACTGTATAATAGGAAGCACTATTGTAATAATCATATTTTTAAAAAATACATTTTTTACATATCAGCTTATGAGAACAATGACTCCATAAGGCGATGGGTTTCTCCCAGCAACTATCTTGAGCAAAATAAACATCAGCATGCTTCCTAACTTTTTCTCTTGTCTTTCTCCTTGTCTCTAGGTGGAGTCCTTCATATTAGACCAGGAAGACCTGGACAACCCCATGCTAAAGACGGCATCAGAGCTGCTCCTGTCCAGCGCTGCCGACGGAGCTGATCTCAGAACAGTGGACCCAGAAACACAAGCCAGACTGGAGGCTCTGTTGGAAGCAGCTGGTACGTGTCGTAGCACCATCGTGTGACCCCCTTCACCTGGTTTTATGAATGCCCCTGTTTTCAGACCTGCCAACGTGTAGCCTACTGACATGCCCACTTTGCATTTGAAATCATGTTAAATTACAAAGATGATACATGCTAAGGCTGCCTCAGTCCTGTTCTCTGTATCGAATAGCACTGCAGCTCTTTTTGGACTGTTTGAATGCTGAAAGCTGCTTGAAACTCCGCCCAATATAGTATCAATGCTTAATTTAGGCCTACAATTTCGGTGCATTTTAGTTTGTACTTGTTTCTGTTCCTACCACTGTGCTGGGACATGACCCTGTAGGTGTGTGGAGATGGCACAGTGCCAGGGAGAAATACCTGCATACCAAACGCTAGTGCTCAAAATAGATGCTCAAATCCCTGCTGCGCTACAACCTGCGTTTATTTTTTACTTTGCTTTGCATATAGTTGTGTTTTGGTTTTTGTAGTCCAGCTGCTTCCCATGTTGGATTGTCTATGGGGGGGGGATACTGATCAATTACAGTGATCAGTAAAGTTGACTGCAGGGTACTCAACAGGCTAAGTGTTGCAAGGCAATTATTCAACAGGCCACAACTCTCTCTCAGGCCTCAGTTGAGCTAAGCTGAACCCGCCCATCAAAGCACTTAACCTTGCTCTGTATAGATAGAGACGCATTGCTGCCTCTAGAGAAAGAGAAGCTTTCTGAAACAATGAAAGAAGTCCATGCGACTGATTTGATGTGCATGAAGCTATGGATGGATGGATGGTGTGGTGTGCAGGTAGGCATGCAGCATTTTAACCAGGTCCCAGCCAGCCAGCCAGCCAGTCAGCCAGGTCCCAGCCAGGTCCCAGCCAGCCAGCCAGGTCCCAGCCAGCCAGCCAGCCAGCCAGGTCCCAGCCAGCCAGCCAGCCAGGTCCCAGCCAGCCAGCCAGCCAGCCAGGTCCCAGCCAGCCAGCCAGCCAGCCAGGTCCCAGCCAGCCAGCCAGGTCCCAGCCAGCCAGCCAGGTCCCAGCCAGCCAGCCAGGTCCCAGCCAGCCAGCCAGGTCCCAGCCAGCCAGCCAGGTCCCAGCCAGCCAGCCAGCCAGGTCCCAGCCAGCCAGCCAGGTCCCAGCCAGCCAGCCAGTCAGTGCAGGGCGAGTTGATACAGGCTAGCCCAGCCCATGAGATGGTAGGTAGCTAGGCTCGCTGGGGCACCACGGGGAAGATGAACATGAACAATGGATATCGATAGAGCAGCAACAGTTCCTATCATGACTCAACACTGGCCTTTAGTACACTGTGTTTCTGTACATGTCTGCCTCCCGTCTATTGTTGTCTGTGTGTAACTGTTTGCATGTCTGAGTGATTGTGTTTGTCAGTTCCTCTCTGTGTGTGCGCACTTCCACCTCTGTGTAACCAACCACGTGGCGCATGCAGTGTTTATTTTTTTGCATATCGTAGGTAATATTGGACTCATGCTCCTGTTCGTAAACCTCGACGTTGGCTGATCGACAGGCTCTCTTCCATTGATCCAGTTATTATACACACACACTTACTCAGTCATGTGTTCAGGTTCCCCCATTGATATGTTTCCTCAACATTGTGTTCACCACTTGATAAAACAGACAATGTGTTCTCTTTACACCTGTTGCATATTTTAAACATGGACTAACGTGTGTATGTGTGTGTGTGTGTGTTTGCCTGGCACTAACCGTGTATGCGTTTGTGGTCACTGTGGCTGTGACGTGAATGCTGGTGTGGGTCTGACCCTGGATCCTCTGAAGGCATTGGTAAACTGTCCACTGCCGATGGTGAGGCCTTTGCGGATCCAGAGGTGCTACGCCGCCTGACTTCGTCCGTGAGCTGTGCGCTGGACGAGGCCGCCGCCGCTCTCACACGCATGAGGGCCGAAAACACACTCAACGCCAGCCAGGCAGACAAGTATGTATCTCCTCTGCTCTAGACCAATCATCCGCATCCCTCTCATACCCCACAGGTGCAGCACATCTTATTCAGGGATCCTCCCTCACACCAGTCTTGTCTAGGCCATATGTTTCCTTTGGACATGTTGTGCTTTCTTTGAGTTAGCTTGAACATCTGACAATTCCTTAGGTGAGAATTTTATTTTTATTTATCCGTTATTTAACTAGGCAAGTCAGTTAAGATCAAATTCTTATTTACAATGACGGCCTACACCGGCCAAACCCGGACGACGCTGGGCCAATTGTGCGCCGCCCTATGGGACTTCCAATCACGGCAGGTTGTGATACAGCCTGGAATCGAACCAGGTGGTCTGTAGTGACGCCTCAAGCACTGAGATGCAGTGCCTTAGCCCGCTGCGCCACTCAAAGGAGAAAAAAATCATAATCCTATCATTTTACAGTGTTACATAACACTAGTATGTGAGAACAATGTTTTTTGTGAACCTAATGTTTCATTTTGTCGTTTTAATAAGGTTGGTAGCAACGTGTGAAAATAGTTGTGGAAATCTGTTGCAGCTCAAGTCGACTTCAAGCCCATAATGCAATGCTCTCTATGGGCTGGCCTGCCAGATAGGTAGCTAGTTAGCAAACATAGCTACACACAATAATAACAAAGTCAATAGCAGCATGTGAAGTAGCTAGTTAGTGCAGTTTGTTTAGGCGATTTTACAGCTATCAATTTAGGAGTCTGCAATCTCACCTGCAGATCGATGTGCTTCACAGAGTGCAATCTGACATTTGCAACGGCACAATGCAAAGCACCCTATATTGTAGAGGCAGACAAATAGGAGAAAGGTGATGGGCCCTCTGTTAAATTACACATTTCTCGAGGTAGGAATATTGCAAAAATATTTATCAATGGCTCATTTCTAGAGAAGACAACCTCCCACATTATGACATCGGCCAGTATTGAAATCGGATGTGTTATTACTGTACTGTTGGAGCTAGGAACACAAGCATTTCGCTGCACCCGCAATAACATCTGCTAAATATGTGTGTGCGACCAATAAACATGTTTGATTTGTATGATAGACGTTTTCGCGATCTTAAAGTCGTATTGCGATTAACTTCCAGTGTAGTGAAAGCGGCTTTATCGCCATGCCACGTCATACCGGCCGAATTTCTGCCTGCTTGAATGGCAATATCTCTGATGCACATGAAAACATGAATTGACCCAGGGAATCGATAGAACATCGCTCAGAGATGCACAAAAACAATATAACATAAAAAATGGGTCAGTCTTTAGTTTAACTGTTCTTTCTCCTGACCTTTCTATTAAGGCTGTAGTTTATTTTTTTTATTTTTTATTTAACTAAGCAAGTCAGTTAAGAACAAATTCTTATTTACAATGACGGCCTACCCCGGCCAAACCCGGATGACGCTGGGCCAATTGTGCGCCGCCCTATGGGACTCCCAATCATGGCCGGATTGTGATACAGCCTGGAATCGAACCAGGGTCTGTAGTGACGCCTCTAGCACTGAGATGCAGTGCCTTAGACCGCTGCGCCACTTAAATCACAGTGGTAGATAGCTGGTGCTCTAAATAACTCCCATGATTCATTGATGATGCTTTGTGCTCTACTGTCCTCTCAGACTTGATCAAACTAACACTGTTTTACTGAAATGCTTAAAGGAGCCATATTGGGTCAAAGGCCGTTCATGAAATGTACAACTCTGCCCCGAGTGAGGCATTTTGTTTTAACCTTCATGGAGTGTGACAGTTTGAGTGACAGTGTGACACACAGTGTGAATTGTGACAACGCTGTTCAACCTGCTGACCTTTTTGATGCTTTGGCCTGCGCAGCCACAGTCCCAGTAATTGTAGCAGTCTGGTTATTTTCAGCCGTAGCTTGGCGGAGGCGTGCTCGGACGGGGACGTCAACGCTGTGAGGAAGCTGCTGGATGAGGGGCGGAGCGTCAACGAACACACGGAGGAGGGAGAGAGTCTGCTCTGCCTAGCCTGCTCTGCTGGGTACTATGAACTTGCACAGGTAGACCGAACACTCAGACACAGACACACACTGGTCTGTAACCACTCACAGTATACTGCTAACATTGTTCTGCCTTTCTGTCATCCAGTTCCGTCCAGTTCTGTAATCAAATGTAGTTGTATATCCAAATGTTGCAGAGCCAACCTGATCCTCTGTGGTTGTGTTTTGGATGTCTGTTTAAAACACTGATGATACCTGTCCTCCTGCAGGTCTTGCTGGCCATGCACGCTAACGTTGAAGATCGGGGCATCAAGGGCGACATCACAGCCCTCATGGCAGCAGCCAGCGGAAGCTACGTAGACATAGTGAAACTGCTGCTGGTACATGGGGCTGACGTCAACGCACAGTCCTCCACAGGTAAACACACGTCAAATACCACTAGGTTCTGTGACAGAGACCAGACACCATCTCATCATTATCACACCTATTTACATAGATCTGCTGCTATGAATGTCCACAAACACCGATGCTCTGTCCCCGTCTAGGTAACACAGCGCTGACGTACGCTTGTGCGGGTGGCTTCCTGGACGTGGTGAAAGTGCTGCTGAAGGAAGGCGCCAACATCGAGGACCACAACGAGAACGGCCACACACCTCTAATGGAGGCGGCCAGCGCGGGACACGTGGAGGTGGCCCGGGTGCTCCTGGAGTACGGGGCTGGAATCAACACGCACTCCAACGAGTTCAAGGAAAGTGCACTTACGCTGGCCTGCTACAAAGGTGCGTCCTGGACAATGAACCCTAACCCTTACCCATGCACCAGAGACATCCGGGGGTCTTTATCCAGAAATCAGTGACTCAAGTGATCCACTTATGTTGACAAACGGTATGTGAAACAGGAAATGTAACTGTAGGGAAGAAGCACCCAGAGCTGTTCCTCTTGTCCCCAACACAGGGCACCTGGACATGGTGCGCTTCCTGTTAGATGCTGGGGCTGACCAGGAGCACAAGACCGACGAGATGCACACAGCACTCATGGAGGCTTGTATGGTGAGACAGACCGACAGACAGACAGACAGACAACACTATTACATTGAAGGTGCAGTATGACTGACGATGACCTCTGCCCCTCTTCAGGACGGGCATGTGGAGGTGGCGCGGCTGCTGTTGGACAGCGGGGCGCAGGTCAACATGCCCGCTGACTCTTTCGAGTCTCCGCTGACGCTGGCGGCCTGTGGGGGCCATGTAGAGCTGGCTGCCCTGTTGATGGAGAGGGGCGCCAACCTGGAGGAAGTCAACGACGAGGGATACACTCCACTCATGGAAGCTGCACGAGAGGGTCACGAGGAGATGGTGGCACTGCTTTTGGCACAAGGTATGTCCTTCTGTTGCTCTCTGGTTTGAATGAAACTAGTGCTTCTAGTAGATGGGTTTTCCCTACTATATTGACTCTCCAGCCTTGTGTTAAGGCAAAATACAAAAGTCCTCTTTTGGAAATGTAATGAAGGAATGTAATCAAGTGATATGATAATATTCAGATACAGTTTTGAGCTCATGATCTTATTGGGTTGATGCAAAAGGAACAAGATGGCTTTTACAAAACAAATTGAAATACCTTTTCTGGGGTCAATATCCAATGGTGGGAATAGGTTAGTACTCTTTTAAAAGTGTGTTCCCAGCTGAACCGTCTTGAATCCTCCCACTGTTGTCTGTGTGGTCTGCAGGTGCCAACATCAACGCTCAGACTGAGGAGACCCAGGAGACGGCCCTGACGCTGGCCTGCTGCGGGGGCTTCCTGGAGGTGGCTGACTTCCTCATCAAGGCCGGGGCTGACATCGAGCTGGGCTGCTCCACGCCTCTCATGGAGGCTGCACAGGAGGGACACCTGGAGCTGGTCAAATACCTGCTGGCTGCAGGTGAGCAGAACCTCTCCCCACTGGACAAGCCTCTCTGTTTGGCTCTCTCAAAACAAACTCTACCAACATCTATTTGAGATTCTTTCATCCTCAATTCATACATTATTGAAATTGACTTGGCTATTCCCAAAACCCACATTTCTTGTACAGTTTTTTCTTTGTTATCCTGATCACAACCCTCTGAGGTGTAATTTGACACCTGTGCTCTTGTTCCTCAGGAGCCAATGTCCACGCCACAACGGCGACGGGAGACACGGCGCTGACGTACGCCTGCGAGAACGGACACACGGACGTGGCGGACGTGCTGCTGCAGACGGGGGCTGACCTGGTGAGACCCTCACCCTCTGGAAACACAGTTCATGTTGATGTGCACAGCCTTTTTCTGTAGGGGTTGTTCACACGTTTGCATAAGTGTGGGTAAGCGTCCCGAATCGCACCCTGTTCCCTATATATAGTGCACTACTTTCGACTGGCGCCCATATGGCTCTGATCAAAAGTAGTGCACTATATAGGGTGCCATTCAGGACGCTGTCTCTCTGTGTGTTGTTAAGATGCTGGAGACATTGCTGTTTGAATAGGCTCTCGGTTTCTGTGTGTAAACTTGACACGATCCTGTCTCTGTCTTACAGGAACATGAGTCGGAGGGGGGCAGGACCCCTCTAATGAAAGCAGTCAGAGCAGGACACCTGTGTACTGTACAGTTCCTAATCAGCAAAGGTGTGCTTCTGCTCCCTCCCTGTGTAGCAACACCACACACAACCACACACCAGACATCTGACGCATTGTAACTTGAGCCACTGACACATTGTAACTTGAGCCACTGACACATTGTAACTTGAGCCACTGACACATTGTAACTTGAGCCACTGACACATTGTAACTTGAGCCACTGACACATTGTAACTTGAGCCACAGACCATTGCTCATCAGATAAAGCCTCATTGATACAGTAGAGTGTATTAACATCATAGGGTTGCTATTGTTTTCATGTGGCCTCCGATTGACCCTGTCCTTTGTGTCTCTCCCTCCACCAGGTGCTAATGTGAACAGGGCGACGGCCAACAACGATCACACAGTGGTGTCTCTGGCCTGCGCTGGGGGCCACCTGGCTGTGGTGGAGCTACTGCTGGCCCACGGGGCTGACCCCACACACAGGCTGAAGGTGAGATCACTTTTCCCAAGCTCCTGGGCAAAACGGTCTCAGGAGTGGTGTAAAGAATGCCACACTGCAAGCTTTCTGTAACTCCTGTAAACACAAACCTTTCTGTAACTCCTGTAAACACAAACCTTTCTGTAACTCCTGTAAACACAAACCTTTCTGTAACTCCTGTAAACACAAACCTTTCTGTAACTCCTGTAAACACAAACCTTTCTGTAACTCCTGTAAACACAGAACTGTCTTTGTTCCTCTTTTTTTAAATTCTGTCTTGATAAAATGTAATTTCCCAAGAACCTGATGCTAACGGTGACCTGTGTGTGTTGTGTCAATCTCTCACCTAGGATGGCTCCACCATGCTGATTGAAGCTGCTAAGGGCGGTCACACCATCGTGGTGTCCTACCTCCTCGACTACCCCAACAACATCCTGTCGGTCCCCGCGCCAGACCTGTCTCAGCTCACACCCCCCTCCCATGACACATCTCCGGTAGGGACTTCTACAAACATGTTTGTTTATTTGTCTGGATGACGTTGTATTGATAACTGTTAGACTTTTATACGTTGATTCCAAATATTTATATCAAATATACTTTTCTAATATCTCTTTACATCTTACCTAACCCAAACAGGCTCCACGAGTTCCATTCCAAGCCCTGGCCATGGTGGTGCCGCCTCAAGAGCCAGACAGGGTCCCCTCCAACATCACAACGCCTCCACCCATCATCACAAAAGGTCAGATCATACCACATTAACACTAAATACATGTCTAACTTTGTCCCCGGCCAAGAAGAACACTAGACAGCAGTTGACTTCACAAGGAATCAAAGCGTTACAGGTAATGATGACTGTAATATTGTATGGTACAACCTCATAGCTAACTGGTTGTGTTGTCCTGTGTGGCTGTCTCAGGCGGTTCCAAGCAGAGGCTGAGCCTGCTACAGGGCAGCCCCGTCGCTGCAGGCGGTCCAGACGCAGACCTGCTGTCTCCCTTCCACCCGTACCAGCCGCTGGAGTGCATTGTGGAGGAGACGGAGGGCAAGCTGAATGAGCTGGGCCAGAGGATCTCAGCCATAGAGAAGGCCCAGCTGCAGTCCTTGGAGCTCATCCAGGGAGAGCCGCTCACCAAAGACAAGATCGAGGAGCTGAAGAAGAGCCGCGAGGAGCAGGTGCAGAAGAAGAAGAAGATCCTCAAGGAGCTGCAGAAGGTGGAGCGCCAGCTGCAGCTCAAGACGCAGCAGCAGTTCACCAAGGAGTACATGGAGGCCAAAGGCCTGAAGGACGACCCGGGGCAGCTTGGCCAGGCGGCAGGGGTGGAGCAGCCCGGCACCCCCCTGCCCCTGCAGGCTGCAGAGCCGGGCTCCGACACCGAGGGGGACGGGGAGGGCATCCACCACCAAGATGGACAGCCCCACCCCGCCGCCGAGGAACAGGAGGAGGAGGAAGAGGATAACGATGATGAGGAGGAGGAGGAGGAGGAGGAGGAGGACTACGCCAAGCTACCCCAGGTGGACACCATCCTGTATAGACAGGCCCAGCAACCCCCTCCACCCCCTCCTCCTCACACCCAGGCCCTGCAGAGACCTCCTCCTCCTCACACCCAGGCCCTGCAGAGACCTCCTCCTCCTCACACCCAGGCCCTGCAGAGTCCCCCTCCACCCCTCCTGCAGGCCAGCTTCTTACCCACCCATCTCCTGGCCACCCAGCAGTCCACAGACTTCAGTACGGCAGACTACCCCGACAGCTCCAGCCCTGACCTTGAGAGGGGGATGGTGAGCCAGCAGCAGATGTTGGGGCAGCAGTTGACAGACCTGGGACCGGGCCTTCTCACCCAGGCCCCCGACGCACTCATGGTGGCCACCCCAGCACAGACCCTCACAGATACGCTGGACGACATCATGGCAGGTGTGTTCATAAACACGGTCCTCTCTTCGCTTAGTGCTCTCAGTCCAGGTCTCTTTTGACATTTTTATTTTTAACTCCACTAACCTGGTTTAAAAAAAAAACAACATTAATGAATGATTGATCCCTCATCCTTTTCCTTATTACTGATCTTGGTTTCAGTATGTTTTCAACATAATTTTTCAAATGGTTTTAATCCATGTTAAATTCCAATGTGATGTAGTTATATTTTGAAGGTTGGCTAACAGCTCTCCTTCCCTCTCCCCCTGTGACAGCAGCGGTGAGCAGCAGAGTGCCCATGTTGAACACTACAACCTCGCCCACAGCACAGACGCCCATCCATGCTGTGTCCCCACACTCCCTGCTCCCCCTCTACCCCTCCGTGGACATCAACGCACACGTACGTCACACCACATATCTAATAAGACACAATAATAACACACAATAGTTGAGGTAACGATAGTAATACGTGTTGCTTCTGGTCAGGAGAATAACACCTGACTGTATCTCTTGTCAGACGGAGAGTAATCACGACACCGCTCTGACACTGGCCTGTGCGGGCGGTCACGAGGAACTGGTGTCGGTGCTCGTCGCCCGCGGGGCCAACATCGAGCATCGGGATAAGAAAGGTAGAAACTCCATACTTGTGTCTTTTCTATGTTTGCGGTATATACAGTGGGGAGAACAAGTATTTGATACACTGCCGATTTTGCAGGTTTTCCTACTTACAAAGCATGTAGAGGTCTGTCATTTTTATCATAGGTACACTTCAACTGTGAGAGACAGAATCTAAAACAAAAATCCAGAAAATCACATTGTATGATTATGTAATTAATTTGCATTTTATTGCATGACATAATTATTTGATCACCTACCAACCAGTAAGAATTCCAGCTCTCACAGACCTGTTAGTTTTTCTTTAAGAAGCCCTCCTGTTCTCCACTCATTACCTGTATTAACTGCACCTGTTTGAACTCGTTACCTGTATAAAAGACACCTGTCCACACACTCAATCAAACAGACTCCAACCTCTCCACAATGTCCAAGACCAGAGAGCTGTGTAAGGACATCAGCATTTAATTGCATGACATAAGTATTTGATACATCAGAAAAGCAGAACTTAATATTTGGTACAGAAACCTTTGTTTGCAATTACAGAGATCATACGTTTCCTGTAGGTCTTGACCAGGTTTGCACACACTGCAGCAGGGATTTTGGCCCACTCCTCCATACAGACCTTCTCCAGATCCTTCAGATTTCGGGGCTGTCGCTGGGCAATACGGACTTTCAGCTCCCTCCAAAGATTTTCTATTGGGTTCAGGTCTGGAGACTGGCTAGGCCACTCCAGGACCTTGAGATGCTTCTTACGGAGCCACTCCTTAGTTGCCCTGGCTGTGTGTTTCGGGTCGTTGTCATGCTGGAATACCCAGCCACGACCCATCTTCAATGCTCTTACTGAGGGAAGGAGATTGTTGGCCAAGATCTCGCGATACATGGCCCCATCCATCCTCCCCTTAATACGGTGCAGTCGTCCTGTCCCCTTTGCAGAAAAGCATCCCCAAAGAATGATGTTTCCACCTCCATGCTTCACGGTTGGGATGGTGTTCTTGGGGTTGTACTCATCCTTCTTCTTCCTCCAAACACGGCGAGTAGAGTTTAGACCAAAAAGCTCTATTTTTGTCTCATCAGACCACATGACCTTCTCCCACTCCTCCTCTGGATCATCCAGATGGTCATTGGCAAACTTCAGACGGACCTGGACATGCGCTGGCTTGAGCAGTGGGACCTTGCGTGCGCTGCAGGATTTTAATCCATGACGGCGTAGTGTGTTACTAATGGTTTTCTTTGAGACTGTGGTCCCAGCTCTCTTCAGGTCATTGACCAGGTCCTGCCGTGTAGTTCTGGGCTGATCCCTCACCTTCCTCATGATCATTGATGACCCACGAGGTGAGATCTTGCATGGAGCCCCAGACCGAGGTTGATTGACCGTCATCTTGAACTTCTTCCATTTTCTAATAATTGCGGCAACAGTTGTTGCCTTCTCACCAAGCTGCTTGCCTATTGTCCTGTAGCCCATCCCAGCCTTGTGCAGGTCTACAATTTTATCCCTGATGTCCTTACACAGCTCTCTGGTCTTGGACATTGTGGAGAGGTTGGAGTCTGTTTGATTGAGTGTGTGGACAGGTGTCTTTTATACAGGTAACGAGTTCAAACAGGTGCAGTTAATACAGGTAATGAGTGGAGAACAGGAGGGCTTCTTAAAGAAACTAACAGGTCTGTGAGAGCTGGAATTCTTACTGGTTGGTAGGTGATCAAATACTTATGTCATGCAATAAAATGCAAATTAATTACTTAAAAATCATACAATGTGATTTTCTGGATTTTTGTTTTAGATTCCGTCTCTCACAGTTGAAGTGTACCTATGATAAAAATGACAGACCTCTACATGCTTTGTAAGTAGGAGAACCTGCAAAATCGGCAGTGTATCAAATACTTGTTCTCCCCACTGTATATAAAAACGACTAATCTAACTAGTCAGCTTCCAACAGACTCACACTTCTACATGCAAATTATCAAGTTCCCTGAAAATGGACTTATATATATATATATAAGTCCATTTTCAGGGAACTTGATAATTTGCATGTAGAAGTGTGAGTCTGTTGTTGGAAGCTGACTGGTTAGATTAGTAGTTTTAGGGATGGGCGTTTGACATTTTTGGACTGTGTTTGTACTCGCTTGATCTATTTTCGAGTACTTGAATGAAAAATTGAATTAGGACACGAGGCGCTAGAAAGAAATATATGTGCACATTTATCTATAGGCCTATGCCAACAGTGTGCGACAATGCCTCATTTATCATAACCATTACAGATAACAAATCCTAATTGCAAAATATTCCATACACAGTGCATTTGGAAAGTATTCAGACCCCTTCCCTTTTTCCAAATGTTGTTACGTTACAGCCTTGTTCTAAAATCGATTAAATTGTTGTTGTTTTTCCCTCATCAATCTACACACAATACCCCATAAGTGTTTGCACATTTATGCAACAGATACCTTATTTACATAAGTATTCAGACTCGAAATTGAGCTCTGGTGCATCCTGTTTCCATTGATCATCCTTGAAATGTTTTTACAACTTGATTGGAGTCCACCTGTGGTAAATTCAATTGATTGGACATGATTTGGAAAGGCACACACCTGTCTATATAAGGTCCCCGTGTAGCTCAGTTGGTAGAGCATGGCGCTTGCAACGCCAGGGTTGTGTGTTCGTTTCCCACGAGGGGCCAGTATGAAAAAAAAATAAAAAATAAGAAAAAAAAATATGAATGCACTCACTAAGTCGCTCTGGATAAGAGCGTCTGCTAAATGACTAAAATGTAAATGTCCCACAGTTGACAGTGCATGTCAGAGCAAAAACCAAGCCATGAGGTCGAAGGAATTGTCCGTAGAGCTCCGAGACAGGGTTGTGTTGAGGCACAGATCTGGGGAAGGGGTACCAAAAAATGTCTGCAGCATTGAAGGTCCCCAAGAACACAATGGCTTCCATCATTCTGAAATGGAAGAAGTTTGGAACCACCAAGACTCTTCCCAGAGCTGGCTGCCCAGCAGGAGTGGCTTCGGGACAAGTCTCTGAATGTCCTTGAGTGGCCCAGCCAGAGCCTTCTTAAAAGTTAATTTGTGAAATGTCTTTCCTTCTTAATGTGTTTGAGCCAATCAGTTGTGTTGTGACAAGGTGGGGGGGGTAGACAGAAGATAGCCCTATTTGGTAAAAGACCAAGTCCATAATAGTCCAATTTGTAAGTCGCTCTGGATAAGAGCGTCTGCTAAATTACGTAAATGTAAAATAATATGGCAAGAACAGCTCAAATAAGCAAAGAAACGACAGTCCATCATTACTTTAAGACATGAAGATCAGTCAATACGGAAAATGTAAAGAACTTTGAAAGTTTCTTCCTGTGCAGTCGCAAAAACCATCAAGCGCTATGATGAAACTGGCTCTCATGAAGAGCACAACAGGAATGGAAGACCCAGAGTTACCTCTGCTGCAGAGGATACATTCATTAGAGTTACCAGCCTCAGAAATTGCAGGCCAAATAAATGCTTCACAGAGTTCAAGTAACAGATGCATCTCAACATCAACTGTTCAGAGGAGACTTCTTGAATCAGGCCTTCATGGTCGAATTGCTGCAAAGAAACCACTACTAAAGGACACCAATAAGAAGAGACTTGCTTGGGCCAAGAACACGAGCAATGGACATTAGACCGGTGGAAATCTGTCCTTTGGTCTGATGAGTCCAAATTTGAGATTTTTGGTTCCAACTGCCGTGTCTTTGTGAGACGCAGAGAAGGTGAACGGATGATCTCCGCATGTGTGGTTCCCACCGTGAAGCATGGAGGAGGTGTGGGGGTGCTTTGCTGGTGACACTGTCTGTGATTTTATTTAGAATTCAAGGCACACTTAACCAGCATAGCTACCACAGCATTCTGCAGCGATACGCCATCCCATCTGGTTTGCGCTTAGTGGGACTATCATTTGTTTTTCAACAGAACAATGACCCAACACACCTTCAGGCTGTGTAAGGGCTATTTGACCAAGAAGGAGAGCGATGGAGTGCTGCATGAGATGACCTGGCCTCCACAATCACCCGACCTCAACCCAACTGAGATGGTTTGGGATGAGTTGGACCGCAGAGTGAAGGAAAAGCAGCCAACAAGTGCTAAGCATAAGTGGGAACTCCTTCACTTTTTTGGTTACTACATGATTCCATATGTGTTATTTCATAGTTTTGATGTCTTCACTATTATTGTACAATGTAGGAAAAAGTAAAAATAAAGAAAAATCCTTGAATGAGTAGGTGTCCAAACATTTGACTGGTAGTATGTATGTATGTATGTATGTATGTATGTATGTATGTATGTATGTATGTATGTATGTATGTATGTATGTATGTATGTATGTATGTATGTATGTATGTATGTATGTATGTATGTATGTATGTATGTATGTATGTATGTATGTATGTATGTATGTATGTATGTATGTATGTATGTATGTATGTATGTATGTATGTATGTATGTATGGATGGTATGTATGTATGTATGTATGTATGTATGTATGTATGTAGTATGTATGTGTATGTATGTATGTATGTATGTAGGTAGTATGTATGTATGATGTCTTATGTATGTATGTATGTATGTATGTATGTATGTTGTATGTATGTATTCATGTATGTAGATGTATGTATGTATGTATGTATGTATGTATGTATGTATGTATGTATGTATGTATGTATTATGTATGTATGTAATGATTAAAAAGCAAGCTCCATTTAAGATTAATTTATTGAAAACTTTGATTTCAGCTGGATATATTATATCATGGAACACAATCTTCAAAATGGCAGTAAGCTCAGCGGTGGCGCTTGCATAGAAGCTTATGGCATAGCCTGGTTTTGTTAATTTAGCAGACAATATGTTCTTATTTCCCGAGTCCTTATCACAGTCAAGACACATATTTTATAGTAATTTAAAAAAACATGCAATATGACTGAATAAAATATATTTTTCCGAATGAAAAAAGTTTCCACTGTGAGGTGATGCGCATCTCACGTCTGGTACAGTTATTCTCAGTGATCATTTGAAACGGGGCTCAATTTGGCGAGTTGAAAGAGAACAACAATTTCTGGGTTACTAAACAATCTATCTTTTTGATATACAGACATTCGATTTGAGTTTATTTATGCCTTTTTTCTTTGGAATTTTCTAAATGGATTAACAATTCCACACTGCATTATGATGAATTATGGCCACGACATTTAGTTTGGTGAGTAGGCTTAATGATTCTGCTGAAAATACGCTCTTTGTCTTTATCAAACTAATGTTTTTGCGTATTTTCAGTGTGGAACATGTATGTTTAAGGGGGTTATAGCCTAGGTCAGGGCTATTCAACTGAACAATTAATAAAAGAAAACAAAAAAATTCCCAGCCAAAATCCGACGTTCGGTGCCAAAGGTACAAGCACTATGGTGGTTTTAGATTCTTTGTTCTTCACGTTCATTTGGCTCTAGTGTTTGAACGGTTTAGCTACCAAATAGTATGACCCCATTACTGAAGGCTACTACTCTCAGGAACACGTACTTGCCTTCTGTTTCCTTCTGATGCTCACCAGGACTCGTTAGACAGGAATGTGACAGAAAACATCACCTAATGACTGAGGGAAATGAATTCAAATCATACTTCCTGATTTGACATATCTTTTATTTATTTTGATGCTTAGTTTTCAGATTTTAAAATGACCTAATTACTTTTTAAGAAGCTTTTAATAGTTGTTTAAATATATGCTAAATAAGGCCTTTTTCCTTTTCAATTATCAAATTTTTTTGGTTGCACCTCGTCTGGTGTTGGTTGAGCGTCCTCCATTTATTTCTGAATTACTTATAGCAGCATTTAATTTTAAGAAAAGTGCTTTATATGTGTGTGTGTGTGTTGCTTTTTTTTTTATACAGTTCTTCTGAAGAATAATTGCATGTGGAAAATGTCTGGCTAACCAATTCTAAATAACACATTAGCAAAGGAGGCGAAGCGGAAAACAGACGGGACACAATTATTCCAAAACTGGGGGGTTTAGGGAGAAGAACTGTGTGATGCTTGGCTTGGTTAGATTTTTTTGTTGTGCCCCGCAAATGCACATGTACAAATGGAACACTAGAGTCAAAGCAAATGTGATGTTGTCTTCAAGACAAAAATTAATAATAATTCAGACAACATTTTACTCGCCCGTTCAGGCAGCCACAAAGCACATTCCACCAAATAGTTTTACAGTATTTGAAAAAAAGATTGTTCTCTGTTTTAAAGATTGACATTTTGATGTCTGTTCGAGTACTCATACCCATCCCTAGAATGTTGGAGAGTAATCTAAATGTCTGTAACAGTCTGTCCCTCCGTCTGTCTCCCAGGTTTCACTCCTCTGATCCTGGCTGCTACAGCGGGTCATGTTGGCGTGGTGGAGATCCTGCTGGATAAAGGAGGGGACATCGAAGCCCAGTCTGAGAGAACCAAAGACACTCCTCTCTCCCTGGCCTGCTCTGGAGGAAGACAAGAGGTGCTGCTCTGTTTGTCAAGTTTTTTTAAATGTTTTGTGTGGACGACAGGATGAAGCAGTGGCGTAAAGCGAGACGTTTTTGGTTAACCGCTTCCGCCACGTCACACTCTCACCGCAGCACTCTCACCTCAGCACTCTCACTGCAGCTTCCCCAGGGGTCCGAACACCAGCGTGCATGCAATTGCAAACACATACGCGGAGAAACAGCTCTTCACTAATTTATTGCGTTAAACACAGAAGGCTATATGAAGGCTAGGCCTAACGCGTAACACAGGTCTAATATCACAATTCTAATCAATATAATTTGTAAATTAGATTTAGCTACAATATCAGACATCGTAAGTAGATGGAGCCCAGGAACCTCCACATGTGGATCGCTATTTCTCAAAAAAATAGTGGTATTTCTAACAGCGTCTACTGCCCTCTTTCTGGATTTAGTAGGCAAATGTAATATTATTTCACACCTTTATCGCTTTGTCTAGAAAAAACTATCTGAGCTGCATGCGATTAAACAAGTCATAGGAAGCATGTGCTCCATTCGTTACCTTCCTTGTAGACAGAATAAAACAGGATTGGGCGGATCACTTTTTAAAATGTAATCCGTAAGCCAACTAATACATTTATTAATACATTAATAACGTGCACATATTCAATCGACTATAGAAGAAACAAGGAAACTGAATGAAAAGTTATTTCAACCTGGTAATAATTAATTTTCTTTCAGTTTGCTCTAGAATCTAATTATCAACTAAATAAAACTAGGCCTAGGATATTTCAATATGTTGGATAGGAATTGGCTTTAGCAAGGCGCTGTGCAGATTCATTCATTTTCAACACGTTGAATAATTATTAGAGATTCTGCACAGCGGCTTGTTCTGGTCAATCCCCCCCGAACATGCTGTTTGTCAGCAGCACACCGAATCTCTCCATCGATTGGAGGAGTTGTGCTACTAGTCATCTGTAGCCTATCAATAGGCTGTATCAAGTCTGTAGCCTATCAATAGGCTGTATCAAGTCTTCAGCCTATCAATAGGCTGTATCAAGTCTTCAGCCTATCAATAGGCTGTATCAAGTCTTCAGCCTATCAATAGGCTGTATCAAGTCTGTAGCCTATCAATAGGCTGTATCAAGTCTTCAGCCTATCAATAGGCTGTATCAAGTCTTCAGCCTATCAATAGGCTGTATCAAGTCTTCAGCCTATCAATAGGCTGTATCAAGTCTTCAGCCTATCAATAGGCTGTATCAAGTCTGTAGCCTATCAATAGGCTGTATCAAGTCTTCAGCCTATCAATAGGCTGTATCAAGTCTTCAGCCTATCAATAGGCTGTATCAAGTCTGTAGCCTATCAATAGGCTGTATCAAGTCTTCAGCCTATCAATAGGCTGTATCAAGTCTTCAGCCTATCAATAGGCTGTATCAAGTCTTCAGCCTATCGATAGGCTGTATCAAGTCTTCAGCCTATCGATAGGCTGTATCAAGTCTTCAGCCTATCAATAGGCTGTATCAAGTCTTCAGCCTATCAATAGGCTGTATCAAGTCTTCAGCCTATCAATAGGCTGTATCAAGTCTTCAGCCTATCGATAGGCTACCAGTTGCATGTTTTCGATATGAAAAGGAGACGGAAATGTTACTGACCTGCACAGGTAGGAAAGTGTGGAGATGACTGCGTGCTGATTGGCCAGTAGGATAGGTGTGAATGTTCTGAAAGCCTCATTCTAATCAATCATCTGAATACAGTAAGAGCCCCCATCGAGACCTGATGGGTGATCAGCGGGACAACAGTCTTGCTGAGTCTGAGGTGGTACCGCTAAACGCCAGTGAAGATGGTTATGTTCCAAATTGGATCCAATATCCCTAAATTGATGTTGATCATCTGCTATTGTCTACATGATTTGCAGCAAGTTCTAGTAAGATTTAACAGAGAAAGCATCAAGGTTAATGAGTTTGTTTTCTGTTTCTGTGTGTCAGATTGGACACTGAGTCTACTGTGCAATTGTGTAGGATAACTAACCGGTGCCCCCGCACATTGACTCTGTACCGGTACCCCCTGTATATAGCCTCCCTACTGTTATTTTATTTTACTGCTGCTCTTTAATTATTTTGTATTTTTTACTTATCGGTTTTTTACTTAACACTTTTTTTCACTTTAAGGTCTACACATGTTGTATTCGGCGCATGTGGCAAATAAAATGTGATTTGATGGGCTGTTACGCAACACCCAACGTTATTTTCCTTTCTATTAATAAAATGATCTGGTGATCCAGAGGATACTTCACAAGGGATTTATTTTTCCCAAACTGCCCCCTCTTTAATTCTTTATTTTTATTTTTTGTTGAATTGTGTCTTTTGACAGAAACCTGGAGGTGTTTTTATAGTAGGCGTGAAGATATTTCAACACCATGTCTAGATAATAAAAAGCTCCACTGAGAACTCGTGCTTGGCCCGCAAACGTATAGGTGTCCCGTAAATATTTAAATTGATGTGTGATCATAATCATTATTTAGCGATCCACGGTAGACGTCCCACCTAATGAAATTACATTTATCAAATCAGTTCTTGTTTTCTTGCTCAAACTGCGAGCAGCACCTGTTGAACTCTGTGATGTCTCGGAAAACACAGGGATGTCATTACGCACGGGACTAGTAGTCTCAGAGTACCTTGGAGTTTGCCAAAAAACAGTAGGTTATTCTGCCTGGAATTAACATGGCAGATTCTTGAGAGCCCAGTAATAGATTGACTGCAGTCCCTTTATTCAATCATTGGCTATTGTAACTGTGTGTCTCTAAAATCACAATGTTTCCATTTCTATAGTAATGTTAGTCTTTAAAAGAAATTGAAGCCACTGAATTATAGCCTTTTACTAGATCTGAATATTTCAGAATGAACTGTATAACTGATCACATTTCTGTGACAATATTCTGCCCACATCGTCTGTTTTTATGTGGTGTGTGTGTATATATAAGTGTCTTAATGTGTTTGGACCCCAGGAAGAGTAGCTGCTGCCTTGGCAGGAACTAATGGGGATCCATAATAAACCCCAGGAAGAGTAGCTGCTGCCTTCGCAGGAACTAATGGGGATCCATAATAAACCCCAGGAAGAGTAGCTGCTGCCTTGGCAGGAACTAATGGGGATCCCTAAATAAAATACAAATACAAATATTAACACTTATTTTAGGCTGTAGCCTAAAAAACATCTATACGTGATTTAATGAAAAGCAGCGAATATCCACAACATTGTTTCACGTTCTTTTAATAACAGACTCATAAACACAAACACGCAGTAGGCTACGGTTCGCGTCACAGCTGTTTCCGCCCAGGGAAACTCGCGTGTATTGTAGCCTAGAGTGTGTGGAGGTCTCTGTTGTACCTTCGCTGACACGTTTTGCTCGTCATAAAGGCTCGTAGAGTAGCTGCTCTAATAAAAGAGTAGCTGGATCCTAATAAAACAGGTAAATAACCACATGGAGAAATAACAGGAGGCAGAACAACCAGACAGACACCAACTCGCTGTCTGGACCAGCTGCATACATTTAGATAAACAATATAGTGTTCTGTGGATTGACTAACCTGTGGTCCATTCCCTCCCAGGTCGTGGAGCTGTTGCTGCTGCGTGGTGCCAACAAGGAGCACCGTAACGTTTCGGACTACACTCCTCTCAGCCTGGCCGCCTCGGGGGGCTTCGTCAACATCATCAAGATCCTCCTCAACGCTGGAGCTGAAATCAACTCCAGGTATCCACAACCAGCTCTCCATGCCACAGTTTGTGCAGGCTGTACCTCTGCCCCAATCTTAACAGTTTGTATAATCTGTCTGTTTCCCTGTCTGTTTCCCTCTCCCTGTGTGTGTCTGTTTCCCTCTCCTGTGTGTGTCTGTTCCCCCCTCTCCCTGTGTGGTGTCTGTTTCCCTCTCCCCCCTGTGGGTGTCTGTTTCCCTCTCCCTGTTGTTGGCTGTTTCCCCTGCATCCTGTGGTCTTTTTTCCCCTCCTGTTGTGTCTGTTTCCTCTCCCCTGTGTGTACGTTGTATCTCCTGTTGTTTCCCTGTCTGTTTCCCTTCCCTGTGTGTATGTTTCCCTCTCCTGTGTGTGTCTGTTTCCCTCTCCCTGTGTGTGTCTGTTTCCCTCTCTCTGTGTGTGTCTGTTTCCCTCTCCCTGTGTGTGTCTGTTTCCCTCTCCCTGTGTGTGTCTGTTTCCCTCTCCCTGTGTGTGTGTTCCCTCGTCTGTTTCCCTGTCGCCTCTCCCTGTGTGTGTCTGTTTCCCTCTCCCTGTGTGTGTCTGTTTCCCTCTCCCTGTGTGTGTCTGTTTCCCTCTCCCTGTGTGTGTCTGTTTCCCTCTCCCTGTGTGTGTCTGTTTCCCTCTCCCTGTCTGTTTCCCTCTCCCTGTGTGTGTCTGTTTCCCTCTCCCTGTGTGTGTCTGTTTCCCTCCCTGTTCTGTCTGTTTCCCTCTCCCTGTGTGTGTCTGTTTCCCTCAGGACTGGGAGTAAGCTGGGTATCTCTCCTCTGATGCTGGCTGCCATGAACGGTCACGTCCCTGCAGTCAAGCTGCTGCTGGACATGGGCTCGGACATCAACGCTCAGATCGAGACTAACCGCAACACGGCGCTGACCCTGGCCTGCTTCCAGGGACGGGCGGAGGTGGTCAGTCTGCTGCTGGACCGCAAGGCCAACGTGGAGCACCGCGCCAAGGTGGGAGTGGCTAGTACAGACTGAGCCTGACATGTCATCATTGTTATCTGGGCTCGTGTCAAAGACATTAGGAATGAGGTTTTGGTGTTAGACAGTGTTGTCTGTGTGGTGCAGTGTCACTGACCCATTATACGTTCTCTCTCAGACTGGGCTGACCCCCCTCATGGAGGCCGCATCGGGTGGCTATGCTGAGGTGGGGCGGGTGCTGCTGGATAAGAGCGCTGACGTCAACACCCCACCTGTCCCCTCCTCCCGAGACACCGCGCTCACCATCGCTGCAGACAAGGGCCACTACAAGTTCTGCGAGCTCCTAATCAACCGGTAATAACTGTTCATCTTTTACGTACAATATGACAGTGAGGTCATTTCAGTCAGAATATCATTCCCTTTCTAGTCTCTCTTCCTCTACTCAGACTGTTGTCGTCCTCCTCAGAGGTGCTCACATCGACGTGCGCAACAAGAAGGGGAACACGCCCCTGTGGCTGGCGGCCAACGGCGGACATTTTGACGTGGTGCAGCTGCTGGTGCAGGCCGGGGCCGACGTCGACGCAGCAGACAACCGCAAGATCACGCCACTCATGGCTGCCTTCCGCAAGGTGGTACCCCCCCCACACACACACATATTAAATAGTGGAGGCTGCTGAGGGGAGGGACGGCTCATAATAATGGCTGGAACGGAGCGAATGGAATGGCATCAAACACCTGGAAACCATGGAAACCATGTGTTTGTTGTATCTGATACCATTCCACCTATTCCGCTCCAGCCATTACCACGAGCCCGTCCTCCCTAATTAAGGTGCCACCAACCTCCTGTGGTATGGAACTAAACTGTGATAAAACATTAGTGTGACTTCTCTGATACTGACACACGGTTGAATATCTCATATATGACCTCTGACACTCTAGGACATGCTCCCCTTTCATTTCCTGTTCTTAGCTAATGACCCTGGTGGTGCGTAAATGGAAGTGTGTGTGTGTGTAATAATAATCCCAGGAGGCTAACCTCTGACCTCTGTCTCACAGGGCCATGTGAAGGTGGTGCAGTACCTGGTGAAGGAGGTCAACCAGTTCCCCTCGGACATCGAGTGCATGAGATACATCGCCACCATCGCAGACAAGGTGAGCCAAGACAGCCAAGACCAAGACACATTCATGAAAAATGACAAAGGGTAAACATTTTTGTGCTCTGAAAGGAAGTGCGGGTCCAACGGTAAAGCTTGTCTCATACTCCTTCTCCTAGGACCTGCTGAAGAAATGTCACCAGTGCATGGAGACCATTGTCAAAGCCAAAGACCAGCAGGCAGCAGAGGCCAACAAGAATGCCAGCATTCTGCTGAAGGAGCTGGACTTGGAGAAGGTAAATGACCTTTCTGTCCAACACAACCTTCTGCTCCTCATTGATTTGTATGGATTTACAGTTCTCTGTAGATAGTGTGTGCATCCCAAATGGAATCCTATTCCCATAGGGCTCTAGTCAAAAAGGTAGTGCACTGTATAGGGAATATGGTGCCATTTGGGAAGCATCCTCTGTGTTGTAATCATCCGGGGTTTTTTTTCTTGGGGTGTGTACAGTCCAGGGAGGAGAGTAAGAAGCAAGCCCTGGCAGCGAAGCGTGAGAAGCGTAAGGAGAAACGCAAGAAGAAGAAGGAAGAGCAGAAGAGGAAGCTGGAGGAGGAGGAGGAGGAGGAGGAGGAAGAGGAGGAGGAAGAGGAGGAGGCGGCCAAAGTAAAAGAGGAGGAGTTAGAGGACCAGGACTCCTCTGAAGGTAACCACCGTTTTACTAGTTCTACCTACACAGCCTCTAATAGCCAAACCCAGCACCTGAAATCAGCGTGGTTTTACTCTTGAAGATGACCTTTTTCCTAGATAAACTGTCAGTTTGTCTGCGTGAATGAAAGGATATTCAAGTCACAATTAATGTAGTAATTCTTTACAGATTGTTTTATGTAACTTAACTGAAAGAAGAATGACGTGCTCATCTAAATTTCAACTGAGACAAAAGCCATCCGACATATTTCTATTGTGCTTTTGGTTGTTTCGGTGGTACAGTGGTAAAATAAGGGTGAATAAACTTGTCTGTCCTTGTCTCGCGCTCTGTTTAGACGGTGATGTCCCCATTGGCCCGCCCAGCGCTACCACCACCACCACCATCGGCATCTCTGCCACCTCCGCCACCTTCACCAACGCCTTCGTCAAGAAACGAGCCAACATGGCGACCACGCCCAGCATCAACTGCAAGAACAAGAAGAACAAGACCACGGAGCCCATCATCCTACTGGACCCACAGGTGGCGCTGGCCCAGCAGAAGACTGACAAAAACAAGATCCATGGGGGGGAGCCCAGAGGCGGCGGGGTCCCCGGTGGTAGCGACTCAGACAACCTGGACAGCACCGACTGCAACAGCGAGAGCAGCAGCAGCGGAGGAAAGAGTCAGGAGCTCAACTACCTACCCTCTTCCTCATCCTCCTCTTCGTCGTCTGCTCCCTCGGGGGTGAGCCAGCAGCCTCAGCCGGTCCCTGAGAAGAGGCACAGCTCCCGAGACCAGAAGGTCACAGTCTCCAAACCACACCAGAAGTAAGGGGCCCAGGTCTTAATGCTGAATAGCTTTGCGTCCAAACTGGGATTTCCTGAAAGTAGAAACATGTATATCTTTGTTTTCTCTGGGTTCAGTGTAGAAAGTAGAACAAAACATAACCGGATTGTTCCATCTGAATTGTCTACAGTACACCGCAGGGCTCAATAACCTCTGTTTTCTTTCTTCTCAGAATCCATGACTGCATCAACGTCCTGACAGCCAGCTCCCTTCCCCCATCCTTCAGAACCATTTCACTGCCGGTCACCTTGCCCAGCAGCAAGACCAACCTCACCAGCCCCAAGAGGGGCCAGAAGAGGGAAGAAGGTTGGAAGGAGGTGGTGCGGAGGTGGGTTGGCTCAAAAAAATGTGCCTCGAATCAAACAATGGCTACTGTAGTTACTGTTACCTTACATTTACTGTGACCTTTAACCATAAAGAAAGCAGTAGGGGTACAGCTTCTCCCTTCCTCTAGTTTGGAATTTATAACTGTCACCTCTTGTTAACTAACAATCAACTGCCACTGGTATCTACTACATAGTCGTGTTAAGTACAGCCATATGACCCATATATTAATTGAATGGCTTGTTTGTGTTCTGTCAGGTCTAAGAAGCTATTGGTGCCTGCCTCTGTCGTGTCTCGGATCATGGGCAGAGGTGGCTGTAATATCACTGCCATTCAGGACGTGACCGGTGCGCACATCGACGTGGACAAACAGAAGGACAAGAATGGAGAAAGGATGATCACCATCAGGTAAGACCAGCCCACTGATCACCATTAGGTTAGACCAGCCCACTGATCACCATCAGGTTAGACCAGCCCACTGATCACCATCAGGTTAGACCAGCCCACTGATCACCATCAGGTTAGACCAGCCCACTGATCACCATCAGGTTAGACCAGCCCACTGATCACCATTAGGTTAGACCAGCCCACTGATCACCATCAGGTTAGACCAGCCCACTGATCACCATTAGGTTAGACCAGCCCACTGATCACCATCAGGTTAGACCAGCCCACTGATCACCATCAGGTTAGACCAGCCCACTGATCACCATCAGGTTAGACCAGCCCACTGATCACCATTAGGTTAGACCAGCCCACTGATCACCATCAGGTTAGACCAGCCCACTGATCACCATTAGGTTAGACCAGCCCAATGTCAGACCGTCTGTGGATATATCATATCATGTTGTAGACATTGTTACTGTCTGATACTCGCCTGCTTCTCTCCCTTTGGTCTTCAGAGGTGGCACAGAGTCGACCCGACACGCTGTTCAGCTGATCAGCTCCCTGATCCAGGACCCAGCCAAGGAGCTGGAGGACCTGATCCCCAGAAACCACATCCGCGCCCCTGGCACCAGCACCAAGATGGGCACCACCTACACCACCTCCACAGGGGCCACCAACACTACGTCGGCCGGCTCCAAGGGCCTGGCATCAGTGTTGCCGTCGTCCACTATGTCCTTCCAGACCCCCCCTGTCTCTCAGCAGGGAGGAAAGATTGGGAAGAACCTGTCTACCGGGGTGAGGCCCCCCTTCGTTTCACTGCCCCTGGCGTACGCCAACCCACACCTGGCCCTGCTGGCCGCCCAGACCATGCACCACATCCGACATCCACGCCTGCCCATGGCACAGTTCGGTGGCACCTTTTCTCCGTCGCCCAACACCTGGGGCCCATTCCCGGTGCGACCCGTCAGCCCCGGCAGCACTAACAGCTCTCCCAAGCACAACGGGAGCTCTGCCCCCCGGCCCTCGCCTGTGTCCGCTGCCCATCCGGAGTACACAGCCCCTGCCTCTACAGCAGTCCCTGCAGCCACCGCCTCGCCCCCCAGCACTGCCCCCTCCAGCACCCCCACGCCCTCCTCTGCCAGGAAGCAGCTCTTCTCTGGCGAACTAAAGACGACCAGCATGACAGTGGTCACTTCCACAGTGAGCAACGTTCTCGCCACGCAGGTGGCTCCTGCACCCCCCACCATGTCCTCTACCCCGCCCTCCCCTCGTGCGCCCAATGCCCCTCCTGCACGGCAGCTGCCCATCTCCAAGCCAGAGCCTCCTGGCGGCAACACGCCTGGTAAAGAGAAGTCCTCTCCAGATGCAGCACCTGTCCAAGGTGGGGCATCTGAAGGCTCCAGCTCCAACGGCCCCATGCACTTCACAGCTCCTCCCACGGCTCCACCATCACTGCCCTCCCAGCAGCAGCTGCCCCTCCCCTTCTCCCCCAGCACAGAGCCCAGCCTCCCGGCCGTCCAGCCCCCCTGCTCCCTCCTGCCCTCCTCTCGCTCTGCACCAGCAGGGGGCAGCACCGTCGCACACACCAGCAGCACCTTACCTCACTACGCACCGCCTGCTCCCTCACGCATGCAGCCCTCGGCCCAGGTCTACCCCGTGGCAGCTGGGGCATCTCCACAGGAGCACCAGTCTGCGTTTGTATCCCAGGAGCAACACCAGAAACAACCGCAGCAGCGTGCCAACCAAGGCATGGCACCCCCCTCCATGCAGCAGCAGATGTCCTCCAACATGGGCATGATGAATGGCTCCCAGATGCACATCCACGGGGGCAAGGCCCAGCATCTACCCCCCAACTACGGTCCCACCGCCCTCTTCAACCATTTCAGCAGCATGTTCGACAGCAACCAGGTGGGCAATAACCAGGTGTGGGGAGCATGTCACCTGCCTGCCCGGACCCCTCCGGAGCAGCCCTACATGGGAGGTATTGGACAGATGGAAAACGTGATGCCAGCTCCTGACGGCTCCAAGGCTCCAGGGTACCGCTGTAACTCCCAGAGGATTGTCACCAGTCCCATCGGTAAACAACAAGGACCATAGACTCCACCACACACACACACACACACACACACACACAGCAGGTAAAGACATAACCCAACTCCAAGACAATATTTTTGTTCCAGAGAAACAAAAATTCAACTGATTCCACAAAGCGGCACTAATCATGTTTAGTAGTGGTTTGTGCCTACATAATTTAAGCAGGTCAGTTGACTTCTTTTTTTCAGGCATGCATCACATGGACCCGTCGGGAAACTCCATCTCTTCGTCTGCTGCTCTGACCAGCTTCGCCACCAGTATCTCTTGCAGTCCAGTGTACCTGCAGGGTCCAGCCCCGGTGGGCACGCCCTCCTTCAGCCGCCAGCACTTCTCCCCTCACCCCTGGAGCGCCTCCACCTCCTGTAAGGGAACAGGGGGCGGGGGGACGGGGGACAGGGGGGGAACAGGGGACAGGGGGACAGGGGAACAGGGGACGGGGAACAGGGAACAGGGGACGGGGAACAGGGGGACGGGGGACAGGGGACGGGGAACAGGGGGACAGGGAACGGGGGACAGGGGAACGGGGGACAGGGGGAACGGGGGACAGGGGGACGGGGACAGGGGACGGGGGACAGGGAGACAGGGGACGGGGGACAGGGAAGTTCATTCATAGATGTACAGTGGATCTATCCCTTTTTTTGCTAACAAAGTAGTTTCAATGTCTACTGTCACCGTGGGACAAATACAGTCGCTTGGTAAAATAATGAGTAAATTAAGCCTAATCAAAGGGTTTCATGTAATTGTTGCATAATTCTTCTTTGATAAATCCAACATTTGGAAAGTTAACAAGCCAAACCTTTGCCCCCCTCAGGTGAGTCCCCGGTGCCCTCTGTGTCCTCTCCTCTCTGTGCGTCGACGGTGACCACAGCTCTGATCCAGGCTAAGCCCAGCAGCAACAGCCAGCAGGACCGCAAGGTTCCCCCTCCCATCGGCACCGAGCGCCTGGCACGCATCCGCCAGACGGGCTCCGTCAACCACGCCATGCTCACCACCAGCTACACACCGCCTGTCGGACAGGGGGGCATCTGGTCCTTCGGAGTGGGCAGTGCTTCTGGTGAGTGTTTTGGGGAGGTGGATCGGGTTAGTGTGTAGAGGAATGGATAGTTGGACAACTGATCATCTTTTATCGTCAAGTGTTTTTAAGATGTTTATTATAAGTATATTGTCTATGTTTTGAACAAAACGATGAACTCTCACACGATCCAAAATCTCAGTCCTCCCATGCTCTTACCCTCTACCTTTAGAGGCGATGTCGGGCTGGTCTCAGCCCCTGGTGGGCGGTCACGTGATGCACCAGCAGATGCAGGAGCAGAGTGCCTTCTCCCAGCACCAGGCCATGGAGCGGGACGATACCGGCATCGTGAACCCCTCCAACACCTTCCATCAGCCCATGCCTACCAACTACATGGACTTCCCAAAGGTAACGGACAGACACTGCTAAATAGTTGATGCAATGATTTCCTGGTTGGAATGATCCAATAAAAACGATCACGAAAATGTTTTGTTTTTTTACCAGTTCTTTTTTAAATTGTCCTTTCTAGGGTTTGTCAATGTATGGCGGGCCGATCATTCCTCCCCACCCTCCTATGGGAGAGGCCCCTGGGGGCCCAATGTACAACGGGCTCCATAGCGCTGACCCTGCCTGGAACCCCATCATGAAGGTAGTCTCCAACTCTGCAGAGAACTCAGACCCCCAGCAAGTAAGCACTCCCATAAACATGATTCACTTATTTTCACCATTACTCAGTCCTCACTGTTGTGGTTTTGTAACTAAATTATGAAAACGTGTCGTTTCAGGTCTGGTCTGGGACGTGGGTCCCGCACGTTGGGAATGTGCAGCTGAATCATGTCAACTAAACACATCCAGCGATCGAAGCATAGGACCAGTAACAAGACGCGTACACGTTTTAAGAGAACCAGATAATTACATAATATACGAAGATATTAACCTAGGGAGTGTCCAGAAACCGAGGAATTGGAGGGTCGGACACCATTTTGATGTGCCTAACTAAAGACGAATCCAGTGTGGGCTGTAACGTGTTTATCACCGTCTATGAACAAACCGATTGCCTGTTAAACAGGATCCATTCTTTGCCTAGTATAGCCATTATTTTGACTTTAAAAGCCCCACATTAATTGTTCTTGGTTTGCAGGGCTCTACAGGACTGTACGCTATTTATACTCCGCCCAAGAACTAGGTAATAACATAAAGAGAGAACTCAGACCTTTTAGAGTGGTAAATACATGTATAATTGTTTACATACTAAAAAAAGGGTTAGAATGAGAGTACATGTCATCTAGTGACTACTGTATTAATGTGTAATATTTACCTTAATATTCAATAAAAAGACGGAACTGTACCGTTGTGCCTTTTTTTTTATTCGTATTGCATTGCCCTCATGACATCATACACCTCATGATTCTCTGCACACTTTGTTGATATGTAGTGCCCTTGGCCTCTCTATATAAGGAGTTGACTCCTCCTGTGTGTCATGTTTACTCATGATGATGTAATCACTCACTCTGACTGAATGTTCTGGCAGAGGGTGCTATTTATCACGCACGGAGACGTTTCCACGAGAGACTGCAATCGGACACATTTTACATTCACTAGAGTCTACCCAGAGAACACCATAAGGTCATTTATGTTTTGACATTTGTTCAATTATGATTGCTTTCTTGTTATCCAACACTTCAAATGGATAATTGCTTATCAACAATGCCTTGTTTGAATTGCAATTGTAAACAGTGTTATTGTGAGCTTTAAAATTTAAATGTTGCGCAGCTTGAGACAGTAGTGAGGTGATTGCGAAACTCAAACTAAACCACGCCTCAAATCAGCAGTTTTCATAAACACCTGCAAGTGGCTGCTAGAGCTTACTGCGTAGTGCGTCTCCAAACGCCGCAGTCCACTAGTTTTCAAACAAACTTTAACGTTGGCGCAGTTTAAATATCTTACAGGCCGTAGTAGACATCGATCACAAATAATTTGCCGTGTCTTTTTTTTTGTGTGTAAGTTTATTTTAGAACTTATTTGTGCATCTGCTTTCTATGATGTCTTCTAACTGTAACACCGGCATAGGTATAAACTGCCCAGTGCCAAGTCGCTTTGAGCGGTCAAAAGACTGGTCTCAGCTGGCGGACTCCTACAGTCAGACGCCCGGAGGCACCCTGTTCTCCACGACGCCTGGAGGTAAGTTGAGCAAAATAAGGGAATTGTGCAAACTACTTATCATATTGAAGAACACACCGATACGGCCTCGGGAGTGTAAGCGCTGTATTAGTTTGGAGAACAAAGCACATTGCATAAAGAGAGAACCTGGGAGCTTGGTGACGCTTTTGTCCAGTTTTGAATTAACTGTTATGTACTTACATTCCTATTGCATTAAATGCACTTTGACCTGTTTCCATAACTTTAGTTGCATCATCCAATAAACATATATTTATTGTATGGATCCAGCAATGACAGATTAAATTATCTCTTACTGGCAAGATGCAGGTGATCCGATTTGTCAACATCTGTGGGAGTGTTGTGTGTGTGTGCACTTTGTTCGTGAGGTGGCCTTTACAGGGAGTAGGGGCCGAGGGAATGGGGCTGTTTTCACTGGTGTTACAGAGCTGGAATTGCTGAGGACGTTATGGCTTCAGTAGCGAGGAGGTACTACAGGGGTAGAGGAGTTTGTAAAGCCAGGCAATAAACCTGAAAACTGAGGGGACTGAGATCCAGAGGCTGTAGAACTGTATGACAGAGTGCATAGGTGTGATTGCATAAATATTATTTTCCCAGTACAGCATGTGAAACATGTCAGACCAGTAGGTCTTTTAAAATAACCAATCTGTCCTCCTTTAAAGTGAACTCTGAGGTAAATACAAAAAGGAGCAAAATAACGTATCTTTGTATTCACACTGCCCTTGACTCAGCTCTTTTGCCAGTTCACTTCACCTATTTTGTGGACCGAGTCCTCTTTGCATTCACATTGCTATGTTTAGAAAGGAACCACGTTTTCCAACATGCACTCTGTTTTTTTTTTTTTACAAAGTGCAGGACAAGCCATTCAATCAGAATGTGTTATCCGACAGCTTGATATACCTACTTACATATTGGAAGCTAATAGATTACAATTTTTATGTCTCATATTTTAACTAAATGCAATCAGAAGATATTATTAACATGTACATTTGATTGGTAACAGAATAAATAGCAATAGAATAACTGCAGAATAAATAATACTGTAATTGAAAATTGTACACCCAAAGCAGGCTACTGCCCCTTTAAGAGCTAGAATAGATTTTGTACCCTATGTTGTGATTCTCACCAAATATATTGTTTTCTCACGCTATTCAAACCCCACAATCAATAAACATCGTATGGAGCTCTCTTAGCCTATAGATCACATATTGCAAACAATTAATGTTGACTAAAAACTCCACATTTGAATTTCTGTGCGTCCTTGACAATCGCTAATCAATATCCAAAAACAGCACACATTTTTTTTTCCCGCGAACCTGCACATCATCTTGTCTTTTTTGTGGCACCAATGTGCGGGTTTATGGCAGTGGAAACGGTGTTGCAATAGTCTAGTGTGTGTTGCGGCAATAATGACAAGCGAACCTGGGGAGCTTTGTGTTCACATTGTCCTAAAAAAGGGAACCGGAACGCGGAATTCAAACGAACCGAACTCGGACCACCTCTCGAGATGGTGTTCACATTGCACGAAGTTCACAAAAATTGGCTGAAAGGGATCAAGTGTGAAAACACCCTGATCTAGTTGCTAGTATTATAGGATCCGGATCAGATAAAGGTGAGGTCTTCTACTTGGAATCACTGAGGTGATCTTTGTTGTGCAGCTGCAGCACTCAAGCCTTTGGATCCCCCTCTGTCTACCCCCTTGGTTTGGATCCCCCTCTGTCTACCCCCTTGGTTTGGATCCCCCTCTGTCTACCCCCTTGGTTTGGATCCCCCCTCTGTCTACCCCCTTGGTTTGGATCCCCCCCCTCTGTCTACCCCCTTGGTTTGGATCCCCCCTCTGTCTACCCCCTTGGTTCAGGACACGCTGCAGAGTCTACCCCCTCAGTTCAGGACACACTGCAGGAGGTGTTGAAAGTACACACTGAAAGTACAGACCTCCCACTTTTCTATGTAGCCTGCACTAACACACCTTGGATAAATATTGTGCACAAGAATACCTCGTGATCTAGATAGATAGACTGCTGTACCTCATGACTTTTGTCACGCATCCTGGTACTACTGTCCTGTTCTTACTCTGTACCTCATGCCTTTTGTCAAGCATCCTGGTACTACTGTCCTGTTCTTACTCTGTACCTCATGACTTTTGTCAAGCATCCTGGTACTACTGTCCTGTTCTTACTCTGTACCTCATGCCTTTGTCAAGCATCCTGGTACTACTGTCCTGTTTCTTACTCTGTACCTCATGCCTTTTGTCAAGCATCCTGGTACTACTGTCCTGTTCTTACTCTGTACCTCATGCCTTTTGTCAAGCATCCTGGTACTACTGTCCTGTTCTTACTCTGTACCTCATGCCTTTTGTCAAGCATCCTGGTACTACTGTCCTGTTCTTACTCTGTACCTCATGCCTTTTGTCAAGCATCCTGGTACTACTGTCCTGTTCTTACTCTGAGACAGACACTCTAGCCATTTTGTTGTCCTCACAGGAACCAGGATCATCTATGACAGAAAGTTCCTGCTGGAATGTCGGAATTCACCGATCGCACGCACCCCTCCGTGCTGCCTCCCCCATATCCCAGGGGTCACTGCGCCGGCCCTGCACCCTCTGGGCAAGCTGAAGGAGATGGACGAGAACAAACACATCTCAGGTTGGTCTGGTCCCTGTTACTTAGTGACACTACTGTATATCCCATGAGATCCATTAACCTCTTCCCCTAGCCAGGCCTCTTGGTCACCTGGTCTCCCAAACACCTGACTCCTCTCCCATTAACCTCTTCCCCTAGCCAGGCCTCTTGGTCACCTGGTCTCCCAAACACCTGACTCCTCTCCCATTAACCTCTTCCCCTAGCCAGGCCTCTTGGTCACCTGGTCTCCCAAACACCTGACTCCTCTCCCATTAACCTCTTCCCCTAGCCAGGCCTCTTGGTCACCTGGTCTCCCAAACACCTGACTCCTCTCCCATTAACCTCTTCCCCTAGCCAGGCCTCTTGGTCACCTGGTCTCCCACATGGCTTTGTAGCAGATATGTGTTTTTACTGAGCAACTCAAGAGTAGGAAACACCTTTTATGGGCTCCTCAAGCAAATACCTGAGGAACAAGTTTTCTCTTGTTTTGTTCATAGAAGCTGCGCACGGACAGTAAATCAAGTTCTGTCTTAGTTCACAGTGTAGGGAAATGGAAAGCGGTTATATACTAAGATATACATGTATCCTTGTCATTCAGTCCTTGTTACTTGATTTACTCCATCTTGCATTCACATGATGTTCTGATGTCTCACCTCTATATAACTTGCCTAATTAATTTCCTTACCGGTAATTAAAGAGGTTGCTTTGTTCAGGTGATGTTTGGTGATCAATAGGTAGTTTATTTCAGAGGATAAGGAAGTAGGCTACACAGGCCTGTTATCATCAGTGCAGTGTATGAGGTGGCAAATGGCCACTCACCTAGTGTGCAAACCAGTCAGTCAGTGTGTGTGTGTGTGTGTGTGTTTTGTTGACTCTTTTTGTACCAGCACTAGACCAAGTTTCGAGCTGAACCGCTCCACGAGAAAAGCTAACAAAAACCTGTGATATGTCAAGCTGCTGGCCAAGCCTTGTGCTGCATATCTTGTGACCAACCCATTTACTTTGCAGATGCTCAGAAAGGCCTCTATCAGTGCACATAGCTTTTTGGAAGTTCAGGAAAGGATATGTCCTTGAAGCTGACCTGTGTTCTCTCTTCTGTCCCTACAGCTGACGATGCCCAGTTTGTGATTGACATCTGAACCTACTCATCCAGACCAATTCTGTTGGAGAAATTGTATTCCGTTCAGACCACTGGGTGGTCTCTACTGGTCACACTCACTTTAGATTCCCTCCTGTCTAATCCTGGTGGATGATTAATGAACCGTCAATTGCTCAGAGAGTTGATCTCTTAGGCTGGAGGAAGAATTCTGGGTAAATGTAGGAAGGGCGGCTGCAGTCAGTCGCTACCTGGGCAGAGGAGGGTAACATATTGTTTTGCTGCTTTTTATATTGATGTACTTTTTTCTTTTGCACACTTGGTACTTTCTGTTTTTACAGGATTAATTAATTTATAATTTGAGTTTTATTCATGGGAACTAATATTTTGAAGTTGCATTTTTATAACGTGGTGTGTGGGTTGGCAGCTGATTACAAGGGATCCAGAGATTACTTCAGTTCATCTCTGGGCTCTTTGACAGTGTGCTGTTCCGCTGCAGAGAAAATAAATTAAATAAAACGGAAATAAATAAAGTTATAAAGGGTGCCTTGTGTGTTTTTGAATCATCTGATGGTTTGAAAAGACTTGGCAATAGGCCAAGAAGTGTGGTGTGGTTTGAATGAACTCACTTCCAATGTATAGAGCCCTGAACTTAACTCTGGACCTTGAAGCCAGTGCCACTGCAAGAAAAACATCCTCTAATCAGGCACTGATTTTAGAAGTGGGTGTAATGAATTATCAGGTTGAATACCAGCAGGCTCCGGACCTCGTAGGGTAGGAGTTGAATACCCCTGGTATAAAGTATAGAGTAGGGCTGTTCAGTTCCGGTCCTGGAGGGCCAAAACACTTCTGTTTTGTTATTTCTACCTGGTAGTTAATTGCTCTCACCTGGTGTCCCATGTCTGAATTAGTCCCTTATTAGAAGAAGAGGATGAAGACCAGAAGTGTTTCGGCCCTCCAGGACCGACATCGAACAGCCCTGCTCTAGAGTATATGTACAGGGGTATTCAACTCTTACCCTACGAGGTCTGGAGCCCGCTGGTTTTCTGTTCTAATTAATTGAACCCACCTGGTGTCCCAGGTCTAAATCAGTCCTTGATTAGAGGGGAACAATGAATATGCTCAGCGGCACTGGCTTTGAGGTCCAGAGTTGAGTTTGAAGGCTTTAGTATATTATAGTATAATAATCTATAGATGTATAGAGTATTAGTGACCCAATTCATCACTCATGTTTTCATATGCATACTCCTGCAATAATGGTTAATATGATGGCTGGTGTTGTATTATTGTACATAGACGATTCTGAGAATTCCAGCTTCACAAGGTTCCAAAGATGTGGGACTTGGATTTTTCAAATTGTATTGGTCGTGTAAACATATTTAGCATGTTATCGCGGGTGTAGCGAAATGCTTAACATATTTAGCATGTTATCGCGGGTGTAGCGAAATGCTTATGTTCATAGCTGTTTAAGTAGCCTACTAATACTGAAGTTCACGCAACACTCATAATTCATTTCATATATAATTCATTCATTTATAATTCACCCATTATTATGGTGCGTTCAAGACAACTGGGAACTCTGGGGGAAAAACGAGGTCAAATCATGACGTCCGTGATCTTTAGGTAGGAAAGTCGGAGATCTAGAAAGATGACGAATTTCTGACGTGGAATTCCGAGCTGGATGACCAAAAATATAGTTTTATCCCCGAGTTCCCAGTTGACTTGAACGCTGTGAAGTCGGAGATTCCCGAGTTACCAGTTGTTTTGAACGCAGCATTAAACTCTTAAGAAACAACATCCAACACGCTACAGGTAGGTTCACTGCTGACCATGAGGGGCACAGCCTCTGGATTGGTGTAAAATCCTGTCACTCACTCCTCCCCTTGACCTACCACAGGGTGAAGGTAGTGTTGGCCTATTCATTACAGGAGGAGGAGTGAGTGGGATTGCTGCCATACTAACAAACAGTCCTGTCCAATTCTAAGAAATTAGGCACGGAGAGTGCACCAAAATACCAAATGTAACTCCAGGGCATTGCTTATCCCCATTAGTTATTTTCCTCTGAAATGTAAGTCCAATTCTGCAATGCACATGGCTGATGTGAAATTTACTTCAACTCAAGCAACTTCAGACCATGTTTTAAGTCACTGACAACATTGAAACAACGCGATGTCCCTTCACAACTACTACATTAACCTTTAGGCCAAGGAATTGGTCATCTATTCCTAAATGGTCTCTAGCTTGACCTTTTCCCTACCAGTCAATTACATAGTTTAAAAATGTTAAAAATGTTACTCTTTTTTTTGGAGGTGGTCAATCTATTTATTTCTGGCCAACATTATTTAGTATTTCTTGACCTGATATGAAATCTTCAATCAGGTTTCTATGGACAATTTTGTTTTAATGACACTGTGTAAAAGCCAGAGGTGTGTGAGCTATACCATACAGGGGAAGGAGGTTTCGACATTCTAGGGTCATGGGAAGGAACACCTGTTACTTTATCTGCCACCCTTCACACGTTTCTCCACCCCAACCTTGACCACAAATATTGCCCATGCACTGCTGTTATTGCCAAAACAGATTAAAGTGTGTCTTTGAAGTGACCATTCCAAGTGGGCACGCGCAGACTCAAATGTGTCAGGATGTCACTCTCAGGAATGTGTGACAGGACACTGTCATGTCTAGATGGGATACAGCTTTTGTTAAATTTACGTCAAAAGTAAATGGTTTGCATTTTAGCTATTCCTAACCCATTTTCTAACCTTAACCTAATTCTCCTAACCTGCTACTTTAATTCTCCTTACCTGCTGCGTAAATTCTCCTAACACTGGTACGAAAAGTCAATTTTGACAAAAGCTGTATCCCTTATAGACGAAACCACAGGACAGCCCCAACCCTCTCACCACTGGGTTGAATGTCCTAAATATGACGCTCATGCTCAAAGACATAGTAAACCAGAAAGCCCACGTAGCCCAGCCCATATCACATCTGAATATGGCAACTTGCTAAAGTAACTGAGTCTTAATTTTCTTAAACCTTGAGTATCATACATTACCTTATATCATGGGGCGAGAACTGAAGGTGTTTATTATAAGGTATGAAGGTAGCTAATGACAAAAGTGGAATTCAATTATTTATAGTAGCTAGGCTTCATTAGAAGTGGCTGGGGGAATATCTACATATCAGGCACCATTAGCTAAAAACACATGTACATATTCAAATGGTTTATGTAACGTGTATGATAATACTGCATTAGTACTGCTGGCTATCATGACATCATTCTTGATAGTGAAATGATTTGTGAGATAGAACTGCCATCTAGTGGTAGCTATGGGTAACTAGGCGGAAACAATACAAAACTTCCCCTTTAAGAATTTATGTTGCCGGAAAAATTATCTGTCCTTTTGTTTCGAAATTAGTGGTGGTGCTTGATCCGAGTTGTATGGTTGTATTTGTGGGAAACGATGCCGGGATATGAATACGGAGATTATGAGGTAAAGGTACAGGGTTTACGTGAAGATCGATAATTTAGTGAGAGCGGACGATTTAGCTAGCTAAGATTAGCCTTTGCCACTGCTATAACGGTAGCTAGCTAGCTAACGTTAGCTAGCTAAACAATTTTAGCCACAGGAGCTAGGATAGTGTTGATACAAATGTGTGAATGCACCTGCTAGCTTGCTATCCCAGCTAGTTGGGGGTTGTATCAGTATCCATTGGTCCAATTGCTGAATTTAGCATACATGTTTAGTGTTTGCAAGGTGATATACCAACACTGCACAATTTAAACACTTGCCCCCTAACTCACCACACCCTCCCCTGATACATGTGTAAAAATATTGTACTATAAATTGTGCCTTCCTGTATTATAGTTATGCTAAAATGTTTATTATTTTCTACTGAGCCATTTACTTATCTTCGTATTCTTAGCTTTTATTAGTTCTTATTGTTGTTGCATTGTCGAGAAGGAACCTGCAAGTAAGCATTTCGTTGGACAGTGTATCCTCTACACACGGACTAATACATTTGAAACTTCAACCAGTTATCAAGATAACCTCTGCTGTTGTATCGCTACATCCGCGCAGCCTCTCGCGAGACAGGAAACAGCTGATCTGGGAAGTTACGCACCAGAAACGATATAAACATTGGCGTTTATAGAATGAGCATAGTAGATATTACATTGATATTTCTGTAGAAATGAACGAAAGGGAATTTAAGATACATTTCACCCCAGGGCACGTGGAGGTGGTGCAGGTAAAAGTTGGAGGGGGCGCAGAATGGGGGCATTTTTACTGTTGAGAGAGAGAGAGAACAGCTACAGACTCGAATAGCTAGCGAATAATGTTACATCACTGTATTACAATGAATTAATCTAGCTAATCCTGTTGTATAGCTAGCTAGCCAGTAGAGTTCAAATAAATGATTAAGAAATGATCGAGGCGAAGACTTGTAATGTCTCGAATCGTGTCTAATCGGTTTAGACTCACGGGGCACCCATTTTGTGACAGGTACTGGGGTGTATTCATTACGCCGTGTCTGTTGCAAAACGTTTCGCAACAGAAACCTTATACTCCAAACGCTGTTGGGTTCTTAAACGGAAGTTTTGGTTCATTTTAATTGTATCGTTTTCACGCGTTGCCCTTTCCAATCTGAATAGTCTCTGAAGTGTTTAGTACAAGCTGCACATCTATACATTATCGATTAATTCCTGCTCTAAAGTGGCGTGAAGTCCGCGGGGTTCCTTCCAACTTCTTCCAGCCGCTTTTTAAAAAAGAGAGACGACTGAACTACAGCTTCCTTTTAAGAACAAAACGGAACTCAACAGCGTTTGGTGTAAACGGTTTCTGTTGCAGACTAAATGTTTTGCAACAGAATCAGCATAATGAATGCACACCCCTGTTGCTACTATTATCAGTACACAGTTCAAAATGTAAATGAAATATATATACATTTTTAAACATTAGGCTGTAAATGATTATAAAGAATTTCAAAATGATTAGCTTAGTGTAACTACCAAGTTCATATTTAGAGCGGATGACAACATCAGTTTTTATATTGCCAGGAGTCATAAAGTTATACATTGATTTGTTAAGTTGTATTTTTCCTGCGTCTCTTCTTTAGGAGAATGTGGACATCCCCTACAGGCGTGTGCTAGTGACAGGGGCCACAGGGCTGCTTGGGCGTGCGGTTTATAAAGATTTCCAGAATAATGCCTGGCACGCCTTGGGCTGTGGATACAGACGGGCTCAGCCCCGCTTCCTACGATGCAACCTAACGGACGAGGATGCTGTGCGAGCGGTCATTCAAGACTTCCAGGTGAGGGTCGAAGTCCGCAATGTAACCGGTGTCTTTTGTCATTCTGTGTAGGCTGCAGAATTTTGGAGGTACTGTATTCCTTGTGGGAATCATTGTCGTCAGTAGCTTAGAGGAAAGGCTAAACAGCCCAAAATGGGATAAATGGCTTAGATAACATTGTACATAGTCCTTACTTTATTACCTTGTGTTGAATATATTCTGTTTCATCCTACCCCAGCCCCATGTGATTGTGCACTGTGCAGCGGAGAGGAGGCCAGATGTGGTGGAGCATCACACAGAGGCAGCCCTGAACCTGAATGTCCATGCATCTGGGACTTTAGCTAAAGAGGCAGGTGGGTCTGCTTTTTTATCGGAATCATACACACTCAGAATTTTCCTAGATACATGATGCACATAGCAACAAATTCAGATGTTGAATGTATACAGTTTGTCCTATATACTGAACAAAAATATAAACGCAACATGCAACAATTTCAAAGATTTTACTGAGTTACAGTTCATAGAAGGAAATCAGTCAATTGAAATAAATAAATTAGGCCCTAATCTATGGATTTCATATGACTGGGCAGGGGCACAGCCATGGGTGGGCCTGGGAGGGCATAGGGCCACCCACTGGGGAGCCAGGCCCAGCCAATCAGAATTAATTTTCCCCCACAAAAGGGCTTTATCACAGACAGAAATACTCTTCAGCAGCACCCCCCCCATATACATATTTTTGTTCAATATAATAAATATACTTATTTTATAAGTGTTTCTGCACAGTTTTTAAGTTAACATCTCTCTTGATAATGTGCTGTATTAAATAAACAAATTCACAAAATGTTCAAAAATGTACATTTTTAAAATTAGCTCATTTTTACTGTACTGGTGTGCCATCAAGACGTTGTTGGAAGTATAATATTACTATTAACATGTTTCTAAAAAGCATGTAGGCCTATGGTTTCTACAGTTTACTGAACATATTTTCCTGTTTGCATTGTGATATCTGAAGCTGGGATCTTCCTCATCTACATCAGCACTGACTACGTTTTTGATGGTCGGAACCCTCCCTACGGAGAGAATGATGCTCCTAATCCATTAAATGTGTATGGCAAATCCAAACTAGAGGGGGAGAGGGAGGTCCTGAGACACAACCCTGGTGAGTCAACACTACTCATTCCTTTACAATAGCCCTAGGTGTCATTATGGTGGTCATTGTGTTTTGTTTTTCGTACACTATAGTCCTGCTTGACTTCTCGCGCATCCTTGGCCCCCCTGATCCCCAAATGTTAATCTGTCATTCCAATTCCTCCCCTGTGGCATGCAGGTGCGGCTGTGCTGCGAGTGCCCATACTGTACGGAGAGGTGGAGCGGGTGGATGAGAGTGCTGTGACGGTGCTGTGGGACAAGGTTCAGGAGGGGGCAGAGAGCTGCAGTGTGGAGCACTGTCAGCAGCGCTTCCCCACCTACGTCAACGATGTGGCTCGAGTCTGCAGACAGATGGCTGAGCGGAGGCTCCAGGTGAGCTCAAACTGACTGGTTGATAGAACAGCCCTAAGGCAATGTCTATGGTCTGGTCCCTTTATTATTGAAATTGTGTTTGTGTGCTTTCCAGGACCCATCAATACGAGGGATCTTCCATTACTCTGGAAAGGAACAGATGACCAAATACGAGATGGCCTGCGCGATTGCAGATGCTTTCAACCTGCCCAGCAGTCATTTGATACCGGTATGATAGCAAGTGTGCATTTCCTTTTTCTGTCTTGTTACTCTTGAATAAACTCGTGTTTATTGATCTGTCTCATCTCATGCTGTTTCTCCCACACAAATGCACTTAAAGATAATTCTCCATCTGAACATTATTTCCTGATGCAGTCCTCACCAGCTGTTTATCTCTCCCCCCCCCCCCCACCCCCTCTGTCCCTCTCTCTTCTTCCCCAGATGACGGAGCAGCCTGCGGGTGCTGGGGCTCAGAGACCTCAGAACGCCCAGCTGGAATGTTCCCGTCTCGAGCTGCTGGGCCTCAGCGTGGAGCCCATCCCCTTTAAGACGGCAGTGAGGGATAGCCTCTGGCCCTTCCTGTACGACAAGCGCTGGAGGCAGACCGTCTTCCATTGATTGCTGTCAGGAGGCCAAACACACTGGATCAAGAGTGACACTTTACCTACTTCAAGCTTTATTATGACTTCTGCCTGCTCCTTAATTGAGAATGTATTTAATTGTGTATTAGGAAGCAACTGATTCAGAGAATTCATTGATTCTTTCCTACTGGAGTGCAGATTGCTTGTGTACCTAACGCATGTAGTGGTTTGACCATTTTGAGAATTTTGTTTAAATGCGTCGCTAAAGGATTTTAATTCAACATTCCCTTATCTGCTGAATCAATTCATTTAGGTAATTTATGTGAAGCCACTGTAGAAAACTGAAATGTCTAATTTGCCATACCAATGAATGGCATTGTTAAATATATAGAGTCTAAAGATGTTACTAAATACGTGTATAATTATTTAAAGCTAGAATTTACTTTTTTATTTTTGTCAATGGGTTACTGAAAAGTACACCAACATTTTTTTTTTTTTTACTGAAATGAAAAACGTGCTTGTTGCTTCACACAAACCCAGGCTGGGTTTTATTCAATTGGTGGATACATTATTTTTCTTAGTCTGCATCATGCACTGTGCTTGAATTACAAATACAATCTACAATCCTACTGAAAGACAAAGCAAAAAATAAAGACATAGGTATCTTGTGAAGTTTATTCCTGCTCCAGTTTGTAATTCTACAACCTCAAAACTGTGTGCAAGATGCTCCCACTGATCCTAAACCTCTTGTGAAGTGAAATGTGAAGTTGCCTATTTGAAGACTAAATCAGTACCTTTATCAGAGAATAGCAGGTGAAGGTTGTTTGAGAAATTGAGGAAATTCCTGTGAATTTGAGTTGCACACATATATTCTGTGATCGTCACAATTCTGCTCTCAGTAAAGCAGTGACTACCTTTTCCAAAATGGTTTTATGATCTTAGATTCATTCTGGGGATTTTGAGGAAGTGAAATAGGCTTCTACAGTGTCTCGTGGGGGACAAACATCATTAACCAAGCGCATAATCGGTCAGGAAACAGACCTCCAAGACGGAAACCTATTTTCTATGAGCAACTGCTTATTCAGTGACTCTTTAAACAAGGGGAGTCAGATGATAGGCCAATGCCGCTTTCAAAACAACTGGGAACTTGAAAATCTCCGACTTCAGTGCGTTCAAGAAAACGGAAAATCGGGGGGGGGGGGGGGGAAATGAGCTCCAACTGGGAAAAATAGTTTTGAACGGTCTTTCAACAATGAATTCCAAGTCCGAAACTGGCCATCTTTCTAGAGCTGATGCCATGTTCAAAACAACTGTGAACTGGGAAATCTCTGACTTCAGTGAGTTCAAGACAACTGGGAACTCTGCAAAAAAAAAACAAGCTCAGACTGGGGAAATATAGTTTTGAACGGTCATCCAACTCCGAATTCCAAGTCGGAAACTTTCTAGAGCTCCGAGTTCCAAGTTGTCTTGAATGCACCATCAGAATTTCTGACTTGAAGATCATCCTTTTTTTATCATGGGCAGTGCCATTGCGGGCTTCCACCATTTTAATGTAGTCAACTGGGTGGGACTTCCAACTTCATTGGCTGATCCCTCCTGATGACCCTGTTGGAGTCATGTCCAAATGGACTACTTCAAAATGGAGAGAGCCTCAATGGCGCTGCCCACGCTGTCCCAGATACTATAATTGCACAGATATAAAGACAAGTCCTCTATCTATCCATCTCTATGAAAGCACCACAATTCGGCCGACCGTCTCAGCTGTCTCGACGACATCAACGCCCCCGTAATCAAGTTTTCCGTTGCAGCCCGTGGAAATGGAGGAGCGCGCCTACATGCAACACTCAATGGATTTTTATACAAAGTAAATCAAGAAAAAGGCTTTGTTGACGCAAATCCGAATTAAAAAGACAGAAAAAAATTGCTTTAAAGATAACAGTCCATTCAACCCAAGGTAATACTGCAATTATTCACCCAGAAACATTATAGATCTCTTTAACTGCGCAAAGGGAAGATTTGAACTTATCTGCTTGATTTATTTCTTCTTCAGTGTTGAATTTCTACAATCTGTCCAAATTAAGTAAACTATGGAAAGTTCAAATATAACTTTGGTGCTGCAGCTGCTTAAAACTATAGTTTTACTTTTCTGAAACGTCAATAGCTGTGAACAAATTTCCCTATAATAATCTTTAATATGGCTGGGACTTGCCAGCCACTGAAAGGCCATATGGGGCTCCAGAGTGGCCTAGCGGTCTAAGGCACTGCATCTCAGTGCTTGAGGCGTCACTACAGACCCCCTGGTTCGATTCCAGGCTGTATCACAACTGGCCGTGATTGGGAGTCCCATAGGGCGGCGCACAATTGGCCCAGCGTCGTCCGGGTTTGGCCGGTGTAGGCCGGCATGGTAAATAAGATTTGGTCTTAACTGACTTGCCTAGTTAAATAAAGGTAAAACAAATAAAAAATGAGGGAGTGGAATGTATTGCATATAATTCAATTCAGACCCTGGCCTGTTCTCTGATTATCATTACAATATTAAAATATACTGAACAAAAACATAAACGCAACATGTAAAGTGTTGGTCCCATGTTTCACTAGCTGAAATAAAAGATCGCAGAAAGTGTCCACAAGCACAAAAAGCATATTTCTCTCAAATTTTGTGCACCAATTTGTTTACACCCCTGTTAGGGAGCATTTCTCCTTTGTCAAGATAATCCATCCACCAGACAGGTGTGGCATATCAAGAAGCTGATTAAACAGCATGATCATTACACAGGTGCACTTTGTGCTGGGGACAATCAAAGGCCACTCTAGAATGTGCAGTTTTGTCACACAACACAATGCCACAGATGTCTTAAGTTTTGAGGGAGCATGCACTTTGCATGCTGACTGCAGGAATATCCACCAGAGTGGTTGCCAGAAAATTGAATGTTAATTTCTCTACCATAGGCCGTCTCCAACGTCGTTTTAGAGAATTTGGCCTCACAACGGCAGACCACATGTAACCCCGCCAGCCTAGGACCTCCACATCCGGCTTCTTCACCTGCGGGATCGCCTGAGACCAGCCACCCGGACAGCTGATGAAACTGTGGGTTTGCACAACCGAAGAATTTCATGTCAGGGAAGCTCATCTGCGTGCTTGTCGTCCTCACCAGGGTCTTGACCTGACTGCAGTTCGGCGTCGTAACTGACTTCACTGGGCAAATGCTCACCTTCGATGGCCACTGGCATGCTGGAAAAGTGTGCTCTACACAGATTAATCCCGGTTTCAACTGTAGCGGGCAGATGGCAGACAGCGTGTATGGCGTCGTGTGGGCGAGCAGTTTGCTGATGTCAATGTTGTGAACAGAGTGCCCCATGGTGGCGGTGGGGTTATGGTATGAGCAGGCATAAGCTATGGACAACAAACACAATTGCATTTTATGGATGGAAATTTGAATGTACAGAGATACCGTGACGAGTTCCTGAGGCCCATTGTCGTGCCATTCATCCGCCGCCATCACCTCATGTTTCAGCAAGACAATGCACAGCCCCATGTCTCAAAGATCTGTACACAGTTCCTGGAAGCTGAAAATGTCCCAGTTCTTCCATAGCCTACATACTCAACAGACATGTCATCTATTGAGCATGTTTGGGATGCTCTGGATTGACGTGTACGACATCATGTTCCAGTTCCCGCCAATATCCAGCAACTTCGCAGAGCCATTGAAGAGGAGTGGGTCAACATTCCACAGGCCACAATCAACAGCCTGATCAACTCTATGCGAAGGAGATGCGTCGTGCTGCATGAGGCAAATGGTGGTCACACCAGGTACTGTCTGTAATACATACATGTTTCAAACAGACAACCATAGTCCCTGTGCCCAAGGAAGTGAAGATAACCAGCCTAAATGATTACCGCCCGTAGCACTCACATCGGTAGCCATGAAGTGCTTTGAAAGGCTGGTCATGGCTCACATCAACAGTATAATCCCGGATACCCTAGACCCACTCCAATTCGCATCCCGCCCCAACAGATCCACAGATGACGCAATCTCAATCACACTCCATACTGCCCTTTCCCACCTGGACAAAAGGAACACCTGTGAGAATGCTGTTCATTGACTACAGCTCAGCGTTCAACACCATAGTGCCCACAAAGCCTATCACTAAGCTAAGGAACCTGGGACTAAACACCTCCCTCTGCAACTGGATCCTGGACTTCCTGACGACACAACAGTAATAGGCCTGATCACCGACAACGATGAGACAGCCTATAGGGAGGAGGTCAAAGACCTGGCAGTGTGGTGCCATCACAACAACCTCTCCCTCAACGTGAGCAAAACAGAGGAGCTGATGCTGTACTACAGGAAAAGGCGGGCCGAACAGCCGTAGTGGAGCGGGTCGAGAGTTTCAAGTTCCTTGGTGTCCACATCACCAACGAACTATCATGGTCCAAACACACCAAGTCAGCCGTGAAGAGGGCACGACCTTTTTCCCCCTCAGGAGACTGAAAAGATTTGGCATGGGTCCCCAGATCCTCAAAACGTTATACAGCTGCACCATCGAGAGCATCCTGCCCGGTTGCATCACCGCCTGGTATGGCAACTGCTCGGCATCTGATCGTAAGGCGCTACAGAAGGTAGTGCGTACGGCCCAGTACATCACTGGGGCCAAGCTTCCTGCCATTCAGGACCTATATACTAGGTGGTGTCAGAGGAAAGCCCAAAATATTGTCAAAGACTCCAGTCACCCAAGTCATAGACTGTTCTCTCTGCAACCACACGGCAAGCAGTACCTTTGGTCTAGGACCAAAAGGCTCCTTAACAGCGTCTACCCCCAAGCCATAAGACTGCTGAACAATTAATCAAATGGCCACCCAGACTATTTGCATTGACCCCCCCCCCCCTTGTTTTTACACTGCTGCTAGTCATAGCATAAGCACATGCTCCCTTCCAATCACAAGACAATGGAATCTGACAGTCAAGTGTTGTGGCTTTCTCATTATGTTTCTGACATTTGGTCAGATTGACATTTTGTCACATGCCATATTTATTCTTTTCTGGTTGTTTTGTAATTTCCCACACTCCTGGGCAGATTAATCTAGCTGTCCACAAATTAATTTTGATCAGCCCCCTCCTTACAGGGGCTCTGGCCCCCACAGCCCCTGGATACCGACCCCAGGGATACCAACCCCAAGGGTTCCCAGGGATACCCTGCTCCGGGGTACCCACCCACAGACCCTGCCTACTCTAACTTCCCCCCCAGGACCCCCAGGTTACCAGGGTAACCAGATGCCTCTTCAGCCACAGTTTGACCCAAGGTGCAGGAGGCCAGTTCCGGGTATCTGAGGCTCAATTTAACCACTGCCTGTGTATATGCAGAAATCAGCTATTTCACATTTCACCTCTTTCTATAGAAAGGATAATGCTTGCTTTCATTATTATTGATGACTAGTTGAGGTGTCAGTGAAATTTGTAGATAAGGCCAGTACAACTCAATGAACTCTGATATATATTACCGGTCCAAAGTTTTAGAACACGTACTCATTCAAGGGTTTTTCTTTATTTTTACATTGTAGAATAATAGTGAAGACATCAAAACTATGAAATAACACATATGGAATCATGTAGTAACCAAACAAGTGTTAAACAAATCAAAATATATTTTATATTTGAGATTCTTCAAATAGCCACCCTTTGCCTTGATGACAGCTTTGCACACTCTTGGCATTCTCTCAACCAGCTTCACCTGGAATGCTTTTCCAACAGTCTTGAAGGAATTCCCACATATACTCAGCACTTGT